TAAATTTTGATTATATATATATTAAAAGTAATACAACATGATCATATAGAACTTCTTTTGATATAAGAAATATCTCTATTCAGGATCAATATATATATTTTCAAACAATCACATCATCAAAAAGTTCAAATATGACCATCAATTAAGATTTGTGTACAATATATTAGAAAATTTTATTTAATTACACAATAATTAAGTTTTATGCTAACTCTTTTATTCTCTATAAACCTCTTGTCCAATTGTTTTTCAATTATGATAAATTTTATGTCACATATTTTCAAAATTTTTATTAATCTACTACTATTGTTATTGCTATTTTATTAAAACCTTAAACACATTTGTTCTAGATTGATGATATAATTATTGTTACAATTACTTCTAATGATAAATTTATTTATTTAATATTTGTATTAAAAATTTTGAATTAATTAAATAATATTTGAAATTTAAAATATTATTTAATTTTTAAATTTTATTAACATGCACGTGCAAGTATACTAGTATATAAAGAAGGGAAAGATATCAATATATAGAAATTAAATCAAAAAAAAAGAAAAGGAATTTTATAATAATAAATATTAAAAATACAAAAGCATATAATATTATAAAATTTATCAATACAAACAATTATTATCACATAACAAAAGCAAAATCCTCATATTTTGTTTACTTTTTTTTTTTAAGTTTTTGAAAAACGAGAAGTGCATAACATATCTCCGTTTCAAACAAAACAAAAAGTAAGAATAGAAATTAAGAAAAGATCCCAAACAACCACTAAATAAAGAGAAAAGTTCAACCTTTCCCTTGACTAATATAAAGCAGAAGGCTTCCGCAAAGCCATGAAGTTTGCAAGATGATATAGAAAGCTTGAACCAAAGATTATAGTTCTTAAACCACACGCATATTCCATGCATCTTTTGAGGACTTTGGGCAGTTAGGCATGGAATATAGAAACTTTCTACAGCTAAAAGTAACATTGAGAAGCAAAATGTTGCCATAAGTTGAACTGGGCAGCAAGACAGACGATAAAGAACAAGCACCAACACAAGCATTGATTGTGACTATGATCGATGATGGTGCAGATTCAATTTTTTTAAGAGAACACAAATTAAAGGGTAGTTTAGTTCATTGTTTTCAATATAATTTCTTACCAATAATAAAAAGGATTTGGTTTAATAATATTTTGCACACTGAGCTGAGATAACTTGAAAAACATTCACCGGTCTGACTGAGATGATCTAAGCATTGGCCAAATTGGATGTTATATAAAATTTATCAATCTTGATAAACAAAAGAAATTAAATGAAAAATAAAAGTCATAACGTTCATTGATTTCTACATAGCATTGCATTATGTAATATTGATGCGGACATCGGCACGAAGATCTGGCGCATCTATCACAGGAGGCGTCGTAAATCGACGGCTCTAATATAAGTTGTCATTTATGAATTATTTTCTGCATTTTAGTTTCTATTTTATGTTATTTTCTATTTTACCCCTATGTTAATTTATTTGAGTGTTGTGGCCCAAGGGGCATTTTTGTAATTATCTATTTTCTCATGTTATGGCCTATAAATAAGGGCCTTTAGCTATTGTAATGGATGGTTGATTGATATGAAAAAAAATTTTGTTTTCCACACTTATGTTCTTTTTTTAGAGAGGACGAGAGTAAGATTCCTATGAGAGGAATCGAAGTTTTCACCAGCCGCAGGATGGGTCTGGGCTCGTGACTTGAAGTCCCTTGGAGAAGGGCAAAGCATCACCCGTCAGCCTTCGGAAGAGTCCAAGGCTCGCGGTTCTAGCTTTTCTTTTTATCTTGTGTTTCTCTTTATTTTCCTAGCTGCCACCTTTTTTTTTATTCCCTCTTCCCCTCCTCCAACCGTCGGCCAATTCACCACCACCCCCTAGCCGACCACCCCATCTCCTCCTTCCACCGCCACCGCCCCCTTCCTCCTTCCCATTGAACCGCCAATTTTAACAACCCCTTCATCACCCCAACCGAGAACCCCCCACTTTTGCTCCAATTATTAATTGCCTTTCCTAAATTGGAGGGATTAAGTTAATGAAGGATTTGAATTCGAAATTCAAATTTGAATTCAAATTTATTTATTGCTTAATTCATTCTTAATAATTAGGCATTTAATGATGTCAATAATTCTGAAATAAAATCTCAGAATTTTGAATTCAAAAATCCCTCCGGCTCCCTTAATCTTTCCCTTGTAATCAATTAGTTTCCAATTAGGGAAAAGCTCTTCATTAATGCAAATTTGAATTCGAATTAGCATTAATCACACCATTAATCTCTCCCACCGTTTAAGCTAATCGTCATTAATTCTCAAATATGAATTTAAATTCAGATTTAAGACATTAATTCCCTCAATCAACTCCAATCACCCCTAATAACCGCTGGCCCCCATCTCTCCCTTTTCCATTTAATGTGAAATTTAAATTTCAAAATACACACCCCCCCCCTCTTGTTTCACATCAGTTTTTGAATATGAAAATCTGAAAAAAAAAAAATAATAATAAAATAAACTGTCCATTACAGCCGGCTCCCTCCCCAAATTAATTGCTTTTCCCATTACTGCTGCCGCTCCCCCCTCTCCCTTGGGATTTAGAATAGGAAACCTCTTCTACAACCAAGTCAGCCCCTTGGAAATTTTTTTTAAAAAGAAAATCTGAGATTTTCTTGTCCTTGGCCGAAAATTTCAAGGCCCCACTGCAATTAATGCTTTCCCAAATCCGGTTTCTATTATGTTTGGAATTAATACCGTGAGATTCAAAGCTCCAACCTTTAATTACTTCCTAATTACCATCCCTGTTTAAGGAAGACATTTGCAATTTCCCTTAATCTCAGCCTAGCCGAGATTTCTTTTCACCCCTTGGCTCTAATTTATTTCCTAAATCTAGATAGTGGATTTAGGAAATAAGAGTCCAATCCTTCTCAATCCTGCATTTCAGATTCCCGTATGGAATTATTCAGCTTTTGTGGAAGGAAATTGGAGTTATTTTTTTCTCCCTAGCAGAAATTTGAATTTCTCTCAGGATTGAAATTCTCCTCAGATTTATTGAGAAAAATCTGAAATGTTTCTGACTTCCTGAGAGTTATTCTCAGCATTTTGAAAGCATCATCATCTGAATTCCAGATTTCTTTGATTCTCTTTGAGGAGAATTGGAATTGAACATACTGCTGGCTGAATTTCTCCTAAGATTGAATTCTTCCTACCCGTCCTGCATCAAATATAGCACTGAACCAAACATACTGCCTTTGCTAGATAACACATGCAGTTATGTAAATAACACAGCTATGTAAACAGCAATACTACTTACAAAAGCCGTAATCTGGAAAATAGTGAACCAGATAAGCCCATAGTAGCAGCCAAGAAAGCATGATTGGGCTAAGCACTCAATTTTGTGGAAGCGCTTATAGATAACAGTACCATTTTTTATGACAATCTACTCAGCTGGGATTTAGAACCATAAAAAAGTATATCCGCAGGATTTGATGTCACATAATGAACATACAAAGCTATGAAAATAAGGCAAATCAATTTAGAAAATATTGCAGTTGGTACTCAAAGAATAGTTCGTTCGATTCTTACCATGTCCGGATCCAGATCATCAATGGAATAGAGACCATATCTGTCCTCTGGAACAACAATATCTATCTTTTCATCAATAGAAGTTGTTTTCCCTGCTCGTTAGCATTCACAATAATTCAAATACAAATCAGTTTGAAGTCTTCATCGAAAAACAAGTTACTGTCATACACAATTTATCAATATATTTGACAAGAGAAAGAAGAGCATAAGTTAAGCTACAGATGCCATCCAGATATTTATTTGTTAAATGTTGTTGGGGTCGTAAATATCCCTAATTGATCAACTACATTTTTTTGCACAAGCATGTATCTCAGAGCATTCAAAGAGCCAAATGAGCTTGAAAGAATGTGAAATCACCACCAATAGAACCGTCTCATGACAATAATCCAATGACATAAAAATAATTAAATAAACTTACCTGGCGCTAACCGGCCATTTGGCTCCCTCAAGTGTGGCATCTAGAGGTCCACACCCCCCAAACCTGCGGGTGCATCCTAGAAGTCTCTTCATAGTGAGTCTCACATTGGTACTGTCGAATTGCAGTTGCACGAACTAGTTCTGTGCAGGTTTTTGATTTCCCAAAGTTCCAAAAACCTCAACAAACCCCCATTTCATGAGTCATTTGTGGAGAATGGTTACTATCGATATGGCAAGCATTTTAATGCAAAAATGGTGACATATTTTTGTCATTTTCTAGCAACCACCCATTTAGATCATGAATCTTCTCGAAACCATCCCATAAATCTAACAATCAAAATTGTGATAAATCCACTTCCAATAGATTCTTGGTGTTGACATGAGTGAGATAGATGGAGAGTATATTTGGTTCAGAATCTTTGCTAGTAGCATCCTCTAGCTACCCTAACTGGGGCAAGCCGTTACCAAGGGATAGATATCCCAGTCACTTTTTTACCATGGGAAACTACGATCTAGTTAGTTTGTTGTAGATAGAAATAAGAAATAATCTGGCATATTCCAAGTAAGGACCAAAATATAACTCTCAAAATTTATAAATAACAACAATCTTACTCATTTGGCACATTCTAAATTTCGGAATTGTAGAAGAACATTAGCTCTAAGCTCTACCTAAAGTTATTTTCCACCTCCTTTTTTGCTCTTGAATTTCTGAATCTAAAGTTTCTCATCCTCCTCAATGGCCTCCACGACCTTTCAATGCCATTTTATCTGCTTCATTTAAGTTGCATTGCCTTCACCTTCATGAAGAACTACCGGGTTATCCTCAATGGCCTCCACGTCCTTTTAGGATTGCTTTGCATACCGCCATCACATCCAACAGGACCAACCTAACCATCCTCAACGGCCTTGACAATCTACCTACCTCACTTTATCTACAACCTTTACCTAAAAGAGAAGGATCATCTTGGCCATCATCAATGGCCTCTTGATAGGTCATGTTGCTTTCACTTTCAAGAGTAAAGCCTACCCAACCATTCTTGGCGGCCTCTACGATCTTCCTTGGCCACTTCATACATAGCCTTCAAGTAATGCCTCCTTCAACTCTAAGAGAAGTAACATCTTGGACATCCTCAATGGCCTCTCTAACATTGCACCAACCTCACTCCAAGGTCAACCCGCCTTTGCCTATACTAAAAAGTTCATCTTAATGATCCTCAGTGGTCTCCTAAACCTTTTAGCACCGCCTCATATGATGCCCCAAGGTTGTGCTTCCTTCACCATGAGGAGGGCAATCCCACCATACTCTATGGCCTCTTTGATCTTCTAGAGCCACTTTGTCCACCTCCTTTTAGTCCTGACACCTTCCATCTCGTAGAAGAATTTTACATGGTAATCAACCTTACAACATATAAAAAGTTGATGATACTAGCATCAATCTAGTTTCAATTGTTTGATATTGACATAGCATCAATCTAGTTTCAATTGTTTGATATTGACATCATATCTAACTTTGGCAAGGGTGGCACTTCGTAATTTATATCTACCAATGATGGAAGATGTTTAGATTGACCTAGGCGTTGTAGTTTTTCACTTTCGTGGCTTTTTCATGTAAAAAATCATTTCCCATACTTGCTTTTCTTCTCTAATCATGTATGAGTAGTTATTCATAACCAAGGAGATCAAGATATCTTTCTCTATTTAAAAAATTCTAGCATGCAACAAATGTAATGCTCCAAATTAAAAGTTTCATTACATTAAGGGATAACAGCCCTTCCAAATTAGACAAATGCCAGGTATAATGTGCATTACACAAATCAAAGTTAAAGATTCCTTTCCATACAATTTTGAAGTAGTAATGAAAACTGAAAACGAAAAAGGGAACATAGTTGATACTTCAGCATGATAAAGGTCAATAAGCCCCCACAAAAGTCATTTCATCACATTCTAAAATAAACGAAAATAGATTTTACCCGTAGCGGGATCAAACCGCGACCAGAGTTTGTCCCTGAATTCAGACTCAGCTCCAAGGATCCGAACCCAAACTCTCTCCTGTTTACCATCAGCATCTACCGCGTGCAGAATCGAACCAGCAATTCCAGGAACCAAAAGAACCGGATCAAGATTAGGATTCACAAGGGGTGTCTGCTTCTTAACAATCCTAAGCCACAGCTCAATCGCCTGCATGAGCTCCTCCAATTTCGATATCTTCATGTGTCAAGCAAAAGAAAAATACACCGAAAACAATGCCACTCCCTAGAAAGAACCAGAACAAGTTGAACGAGCTCTACCAGCTAATCCCTAATACAGAACGAAGAGGAGGAGATAGAGATCAAGTGAAACGTGACCAAGAAACCGATCAGTCTAGGGTTTCGAACTTGTATCCCGGAGAGAGGAGAGGAAAGGAAAGGTTAGGACGCTAACGAAATGGAAGTTGGAATACGGAACCGCGCCTTTCTTCTTCCGGGAGAAATCCAGCGGAGGAGTTGGTTAAAATCACGAAGGAAGATTGCCGGTTTGACCGTCTGCAGATCGACGCCGTAGCACGGCGGAAAACGACAACCTTTATTAATCACAAGAGTTAAATCAAAAAGACTTAAATTTTTATTATTTATAAAATTAATATCTTCTTATATCTAATATTCAAATTATTAAATTATAATCAAAATTTAAAAAATAATAAAATATTTTTAAATTTTAATCAAATTTCTAAGGATTTGATAGCGATATGAGTATTAGTTTTATAAATTTAAAATATTATGCAAGTAATTCCCTAAAAGTTTAAAATCATATTTGGGAATAAAATAGAAATTAAATAATTGTCATCAATTTAGAGCATCAAAGAGGCACAGATGGCACATTAGTCTTTCATTGGCAAACATATTATCAAGTACATCATATAGAAGCATCAAATCAAGCACACATATACTCATCACTATAAAGAAAACAAAGTGGTACAAACAACCTCAGAGCAATCCTACAGGATCACAATATCATCCTCATCATCCTCGAGGGAAAAGGCTTTCTGCGACTCACTCTCTAGTTCTTCTCCATCAAAGTCTGAAGAAGGATCACCATAAGCCTGGCTAGGTGTCAACCCCCGATCTCCGCTCCAGTCTTAAGCTGCACTGCACGCACGACCTTCATAAAACCTCTCATGAAGCCCTCCTCTATACACTCTGCTTCTAAAGCCTTCACCTCCACGTCATAGATATGATTGCGAATTTCCTTAACGTGATCATCAACAATTATCTTGAAGGCAAAAGACTTCTTGAATTCTTCTGTGACTGTAGACGGTAACAGCTGGGCTTCGTTCTCTGACAGCATGCTCTGGATCCTCTTATTCTCATTTTCAAGATTTGCTAATCTCTCATATGTTGGTTGAGTGTCGCCTGTGCATCCACCAATTCTATATGTAGACGATCCATCTATTGATTCTATGAGGAGGCTGAAGTTATCATGTTAGCTAACTCTATTATACACTCTGTTAATTGTTCCTCCACCACCTTCATCTCCTTGACTTTCCCATTGTTTTGCTTCTTGTATTCTCCCTGAAGATATTTGGCCTTTACAAATTTGTTGTTCTAGTCATTAAGGAGGTAGAGGTTGTACGTTACGGGCTAGAATATATACATCGATAGAGTTAGGAAGTTTTTGTTTCAGCGTTGTACATATATCTAGCACACAAGCATGAGAAAAATAAAGACACCCGAATTTTTACATGGAAAATCCTAGAAAGGGAAAAAATCACAGGGCCACGCCCTATTGAAAAAGTTTCACTAGTATTTGCTTGAGATACAAGAGGCTGATTCATCCTTGAAATTTAGGACGATCAGATTATAATGAATCACTTTTGGACTAATCCTAGTTACAACGTTGGGCAGAGTTCTGGCGTCACTTGGAGATCAGGAAGAGTTCTGACGTCACTGGAAAGTCTGGCGAAATTCCGGCGTCACTTAAACGTAAGACAGAATTCTGGCGTCACTTGGGCGTCGGACCAAATTTTGTCGGTGGTCGAGGAGGAGTTTATTTCCTTCTGTCATTCTCTTATCTTCTCTTCTTCTTCTTGCTTGGGTCCCATCTCAAGAGAAATGAGGGGTTATTTATAGTTTTTTTAGGATGGCATGACCCGTAAATAGGATGAGGATCAAGGACAAAAGTGGAGTGGTTCGGATGGATGGCCGATATTGAATCCTTTGATCGTGGACAGTTTATCAAAAATTCAAAGGTCTTAATGATATTGGAATTTGATGATCTTGGGCTCGTTGTATTCGTCTTGTCAAGCCGCTTAATTCGATTATAAGCATGTCATGTTTGGAAATCGTTTGGTAATCCAAATTATGGATTGAACCTGTCAACAGCGCTTCAGGTCCTTGATTTGGACTCATTTAGGATCAGATCAAGTTGAATTTGGTGTCGTTGGGTTCGTATTTCCGAGACGCTCAGTTTGACTATAAGTTTGCTGAAATTAGAGTTCAGGTGATCCCGAATTTAATTTTAGAAATTCTCGGCTTGATTTTACCTCGAGATTCGGCCCGATCAAGATAATTTTTTGATGATATATCAAGGAGCATCAAAGAGGCACAGATGGCACATTAGTCTTTCATTGGCAAACACATTATCAAGTAGTTTATCAAGATTTAGGCTTCGTTTTGGATGATTTTTTTACTATTTCTTAAAAAAGTTTTTTAATACCAAAATTAAAAATTTTGCACTAAAAATGACTTTAAAAAATAGTAAGAAAGTCATCCCAAACGAAACCTTAACTCCGCAAGAGACCTCATTTTTTATCATTCATCATGACCCTCATGTTATGTCATTCAGCTAATATGATAATTATAATTCACTCATAATACATTATGTCTTATGACCAGACCATCAAGTAGTAGCAAATTTCTTGTTCATGATAACTTTTATTAGTTATATTTTAATCATATTATCAATATATATTTCTTAAAAATGACAACTCAAATAATAGACAAGCATAAGGTTATTGATCAACATTGTACTAGTTAAATTCACTAGATTGCCTTCTTAAATAAGCTAATCTCAAGCTTCTTTGGGACAACTTTTTTTTTGCCTTACTTTTCATACTACAATCACAATTTTTGTTTTACTCTCTCTCTCTCTCTCTCTCTCTCTCTCTTCTTGTAAATCATCTATTTGTGTGCTGAATATCCGTGCATCGCTAAGATGAAAAATTACTTACTCTCTCATCATGAATATTCTAGCACGCAACAATTATAATATTTAATGTATAAAAATAAATCTAAAAATTTAGCATAAAATTTTTAAATATATTTTGTTGTTGCGTAAATTATCCAAATCAGGTTGAGATTGTATATGAAACTTATAAGCATCTTTTAAGAATAAGAATAATTATATTTCACCTAATTCTGTCATTGATATATTTTATAAAGGATTGCGAAAAAGATTCACAAGCAAGAACCAAATTTTTAGTATTATAGATTATGAAGTTAATAGAAAGAAAGGAAGTTTTGAGAGTTCCTAGTAGAAAGAAAGGAGAGTGGAAAGGGGGGGGGAGAGAGAGAGAGAGAGAGAGAGAGAGAGATTTTTAATATTTATCCAAAAGTATAGGATTTGAATCCCAATCATTGGGGATGTCATTTGTCCTCCCTTTCATTACTTTTTAGAGGCTAGAGATTTGGCATTACAAGGAATACATAGCTTAATGGTTTTGTGACATGTCTATGAGGCATGCCATGCAACCAATTTATAAGAAAGTAAACTTTGGTTTTTTGTAAGGATTACAAAGGATTTTGTGTTGTTAGCCAACTAGAATCAAGGTTTGTGTGATGTCATTATTTCATTAGCTTGGTGGAGACTATTGGCTAGTTATTGTCAATGCAGGATACCAAACTTTTTGTACAAGCCCTTAGCAAGATTTTTTTGTGAGCTAATGAGTTTATGATCACTATCAATTTAGCAAGTTTGTGATCACTGACGAGTTGGTTAGTTCGTGATCAATGCCAAGTTAGCTAGTTTGTGGTCACTTATAAGTTTGTGAGTTCATGTTCATCACTAATTAATTGTCAAGTTGTGGAAAATTAATCTTGTGGTAATTTGGTATATATGGGAGGTTTCCTTCAATTAGGTCCATACGTCAACTATGAATGTATATACATATAGCTTCACGATTGTTTTACATCTTTGAAAAGCCACTGCAAAAAAAGTAAAAGAATTAAGTACTAAATGTTTTTGATATATTAAAGATGCATCATAAAATTAATATTTAATTTAATTTGTGTTTTTAAAAACTATAGATAACTTCCTCACCCCTTAGAAGTTTTATATATTTCTTTGAAATATTTACTCCCTTTTTCTCAGAATAATCGATCGTGCGAAGAGAGTCTCCAACCAGGATGTTGTGTTGATGTTGATACAAAAAAATAAGGACAATGAAGATGGTACGGACATGAAAATAACATCATGAATCCTTCGTTATACATGTGATAGAAGAAAAGTCTGAGAGCACAATAGAACAAAATTCATGTTGAGATTCCTACTATTATTGACCTTCATTGCAAGCCATCTCTCGTTAAATGGGTCATAGCAATTTCAATCTACCAAACTTATGGTGAATAGAATGACGAAGAAATTAGGTGATAATGATGTCGTTTCCCAAAGTTAGGTTCCTTAAGGATGATTGATAAATTGATTCCTCTTTCCTTCTTAATCATGCTCATGAAAGAATATGTAACTGACACTATTTTGGGTATTGAGGTGATGGATTATGATCCCCCCAACATGTTGATTTTGCCACCTTCATAAGTGTTAGTGTCATCATCCATCATAGCATCAAGTTGTCCAATTTCCAAAATGCCAGCTTCTTAGTGTCAACATCTCTCCCTCTTTTTTAGGGATCTTAATAAGTGACTGACGTTCAAGCTTTAAAGGCGAGATTATTCTCTCTTTAGACTGACTAGTATCTTAAATAATTGAGAACTTTTAAGAGGGTCATCAAAGTGCAGCTTGTTAGAGAGGTTAAGAGTATTGGACTTAGTTGTTTGATAGAGACACATTCGGCACTGACTGTTCGTGTTGATGTAGCATAGGTTGGAGTTGCTACCAACATCAAGTTGGAGTTGGAAAGCTTAAAGAATAAGGTTATTTTCTTGAAGAGGGATGCGTCTTCTTTGTAGGACATTCAATTCACTAGTGGGACTAAATTCATACTTTAGTATTTTATTCACAATGGTCATTTCCCAAAGAAGGCGATCTTCGACCCTAAGGCTTTGGCTCTTATGGTAAGAGCAAGCTCATATCTTATTGTCAAGTTTGAGAATGTGGTAACCAAAAGCCCTGTTAAAAAAACTTTATTTTTTTCCACCATTGAAAACATATGAACTCACGATACATCCAAATTAATAAAAAATAAAAGAGGCATATATTGTTCATCAGTTTATTATTAGTTTCAAGTTTGATGTTACTTTGGATAATGTGAGTGACTTCATGATTAAATGATTGGAAAAAATGGTGTCATATCTTGTTCATCTTCTTCTCTCTCAAATTCTCTCTCTACATGATCATCACGTCAAAGCACTTTATGAGATGTACTAAGAACTTTGAGAAAGCCAAATGTGATTTTCATCTCTAATATCAAAATATAATTTTAAGTCCCTATAGAGAGAGTTTGATCTCATAGGTGACTTCAATTTTTTGGTCATTAATAGAGCGCGAGATCTTGAATACTTAGGACCATGATGAAATTTGTTGTACCAATTCCACCCTAGTCTTCCTATGTCTCTTATTTTAAAGATATCAAATGTTTTCTAATATTTTGATTGATACCAACTCAAGTGATCCCGAACTCATTTGATTGTATAGTGGCATGCATAAAGTAGAGCTCTAAAGCTTCAAGGCTGCATCTAAGAACACCAAATAGGTCGAGATCTTACAATTTAACTTAGTTCTTTGAACATTGTCAAAGAACTCAACCGTCCCTCTATTATAGCTTCGTTTGGAATGACTTTCTTGCTGTTTCTTAAAGCAATTTTTTAGTACAAAAATTAAATATTTATACTTAAAAATTACTTTAAGAAGCAGCAAGAAAATCATCCCAAATAAAGTTTATGTTAAGCTATTGAGTAAAGTTTATATATCTACTACATTTATAATTTTTTTGAGCTGAAGTGTAAAATTTTAAAGCTAAATCTTATATTTTGACATTTGATATACTCAAAAATAAAATATATTTTTACTTAGATGAATGATGGTAATGGAGATAATAGCTCAAACCAGAATTAAGTTGAGAAATGTAAATTGAATAATCAGGTATTTCAAGGAATAAATAAAAAAAAAAAAGAGAAAAACATGGTACTGAAAACGACGGATAATTTAGAAATTACCTGTAGTATTTCTCCAATTTGTTTGTTCTCATATTTTCATTTTTTTAATATTACCGTTATTTACTGAATAGACTTTTTTTTTGTAATTAGCTAGTGAATGAAGACATAAATTACCTTATTACAGTAAATATAACGCAGCATAGAATAATTTTTTTCTGTCAATTACGTATGGTCATCCACCACTGCTTGTCCGAGTGATGAAGAGCCGGCTAAGCAAAACCTAGATCCCTGATTCGAATCCCAAGTGGTAAAGAACCGACTCGGCAAAACCTATAAACAATGCTTCCTTGTCACTAAAAAAAAATTTACATATGGTCGGCAATAGTTCAATTAAAGAAAACTTACTCTTAAACTTCATTTGAGAAAACTTTTTTAATGTTTCTTAAAACATTTGAATACAAAAAAAATTTATAATAAAAAGCTACTTTAAATATCAATAAAAAGGCTATCACAAGCTTATTTGTTAGAGATCCATCAATTGCATTGAGCATATTATAATTATAAACTTCAAAAGATAATAGGGATTTTTACATGCATAACACTTAAAACATTTCAAAATACATATTTAACACTCAAAGTGTTATATTTACTAATATACCACTCAAATAACATTTCTATACTATGAAATACCACTCCGTTAACGGAGAGTTAAAACACTGTCCGAGGCGATCCCGTTCGTAGCTATTCCCGCGCGTTCCTGTTCCCGAGCCTTCTTCTTCCCGCTCCTTGTTTTCCGACGAGCGACCGTTGCCTATTCTTCGATAGAGAAGGTACTGACCATCACTTCTTCTCCGAAGACCGACCGTCGCCAGGGGCGGATCCAGCTTCTTTTTTGAGGGTGGGCAAAAAAAATTTTTGGGTGGAGCGCTACGGCTAAAAGGGGGAAGAAGCTGCTCAGTGCTCGCCCGAAATGAAGAACGAAATCAATGCTCGCCTCGGACAGGATTTTAACTCGCCTCGGATAGGGTTTTAACTCTAGAGTGGTATTTCAAAGTATAAAAATATTATTTAAGTGGTATATTAATAAATATAACACTTTGAGTGTTAAATATGTATTTTGAAATATTTTAAGTATTATGTATGTAAAAATCCCAAGATAATAATTTATAAGATCTTATTTTTATACAACATCAGCATAGGTGGAATTTTAAAACTGATAATGCTTGAGAAGACTTAGAACTTTATTTGGATTAAATTTTTATTGCTTCTTAAAATAATTTTTTAATATTCTTAAAATAATTTTTTAATATATAAAAACTGATTTAAAAAACAATAAAAAATATATCCAAAATAAAATCTTAATCGATTTTTTGCTTTTTTTTTTGTTATCTTCCAATGAGGCTGAGTTTGAAGTGATTTTTGCACAAACTTAACAGTATACGTTACTCATTTCAGAGACCTCTTAGAGCATCTCCAACGGGATCGGAGAACTCCATTTTTAACGGCAAATTACAGCAAAACTCCAAAATGCCGTGTTGTTGTTCCAATTGAACTGCATTTTAAGTACTTCTTTGAAGGTAACAATCCTTCTCCCTTTCGCACATTTTTCTAATTGAGAGAGCAAAATAGCATAAGTAAATAATGCAACGTCAATATTAGCATCGCACTGTTCACCTGCAAGTAAAAGACAAAAAATTTGACGTTCGGCTGAAGCGACCGAACAACGCCATACGCACGTTTGGCATTCGGTTGGAGATGCTCTTAAATTGTTTTTCAACAAAAGTTGGCGTCGCAATGTGAGAAAAAACAGATCAAATATCATAATCTTAAGCATGTACAGGCAACAATCAATAAGATCTATTCCTATCCTACTGATAGGTAAAATTTGATCCAAATTCCACCAGCCGAATTTCATCCAACTCCTGCATCAAAATGCCTCCTAGTATTGCCAACAATAGAATACAATCCTTCATACAAAAATAACACCAAGTAGAACTGATAGCACAAAAACATACACAGCGTAATCTATTTTTTATATTGAAACAACTTAAGGTTCAACCGAAACAAAACTCTCCCAAGTTCCCATCTCCTGATAATACCTCAAAAAGATAAAAAGTAAGAACCGTTCAACTTAGGCTTAGCTTGGGGCGGCTTTCTTACTACTTCTTAAAGATGCTTTCTAGTACAAAAGTTTTAATTTTTAACTAAAAAGTTGATTCATAAAACAGTAAGAAAGTCATCCCAAACAAAGTCTTAATTTGCCGGGCCAAGAAAAACTAGCAAGAAAGTTAGTACATGCGTTCAGTGTGCGCCATTCAAAAGATGTTGGTCTAAGGTTAAGAGTTATTTCGATTTTCTGAGAGGATAACATTCAAACAAACCAGGTTTTCAATTTCAAGAAGCATGAAAACCTCAAAAAGCTTGATATTGCTGCAAGTATAAGAATCTTCAGAAGAGGCTTTATCTTTGGCTGCTTCAGATATGGTGGCCAAGGCCCTATACAACAGCCACAAAATCCCATTATAACTCGCCTTTCTTGAGAAGCAAAATAATGTTAGGCAAATCCAAATCCATCAGATGTTATCTTATTGTCTTCACACACTAAATCAGGTGACGTAGTTTTGCATCTAATTCCTAGTGGAAAATCCGGAGCGTCCATCTTTACAACTACATGTTTCATATCTGAATCCATACAATTCTTTGCAGTATTAATGGCTTTGTGTTCTTCTTCAACTGATAATGGTATAAAGTCCATCGTCAATGGCTGCGAATTTTCCTTTGGATTTCCATCAACGTTTTCATCACCCATAAGACAATAGCTATTAATTTTCTTAGACTCAGAATCTAATATCTGTTGACTGCAATGGATATTTACAGTCAAAGAATCAGTGTTTGATAAGCCTGCGTTATCTTCAAGAATGGTTGAGAGAGGCCCCAAATGTCCAACACTTCCAACACCTTCAGTGGGCGCATTCGACTCCTTGGAGATAGGAAGTTCTTCAGTTGTGCCAGGATGGGATACGGTACATAAAATATTATGGTCATCAAGCCCTTTATGCACAGTATGCGGTAAATTGAGATTCTGGCAGTCCTCCCTGACTGGGAAGGAATTATCCTCTTCGCTGAAAGATGGTCTTATTAGCTTCCTTTTCTTGCATTTATCTACTGGAGGAGTAAAATCACTTGCTCCAGTAGTTGGCTGTTTCACAGCACTTCTGCGCTTGAAATTCGGAATTGAAAAGCCATTGCCGTCATCAAGCACCTGAACTTGGGGTTTTATTTCAACAAGAGAATCCTTTTCAAATGATCTCAACTCAGCTATATTATCCAATGGTGCATCACTCTCAAGACTTGCTAGGTTTCCAAGCTTTCCACACACCTTAATCCCTTGACTTCTCTGATGAGAAAATGCCTCCATGCGATCAAGTGCATAAGGATATTTCTTTATTTTTTCTTTATTTATTTTTGGTGGTCGAGACAGACGCTGGAATACATTACACCTCTTCTGAAAGGAATTTGATTTTGGAAACGAATTCAAATAGGATGCACTCTTTTTGTCATTGTAGGAAAAGTCAAAGCTGCAATTGCTTGTATTGTTAATATCACTAGTAAAACCAGAATGATAATCATACTGTGATGTTAATGGCGGATTCTCTTTCCTAGAAGGGAGATCATAGGCTTCCTTGGCATAAGCAAAGTCAACTTCAAGCACAGGAATGTAACCGTTAACCGAAGTTTCGCCTTTTGAATTAGGAATATAGTCGGGACCTGAAGACCAATCTTGTATATTCCAAGAGTCATATTCCATGTCTTGTGATGAGCACAAAAATTTATTGTTGGAAAGACTATAGCTATCATGGAAAGTAACATTGCCTTCAGGGGCATGTAAAAGTTGAGAGGTATCAGAGAGACACGAGGATTTTGACAAAGCAATGCCAGAGTTGTTACTCAAAGGATGGTTTTTTATTTCTATTTGAGACACAGAAGTATATGATTGGTTTCTTATGTGAGGTGTTTGGGCATCTAAGGAACTCCCTTTGGAGAAAGTAAGCTTTTGTTCAAGTAAATCCGAGCCTAAAGCAACTGGAGGCGGCGGTTTACAAAGAAACCTTGAAGAACTATAGCTACGACGAGTAGAAGGGATAACAGGAATGACATCCCTGGAAAGATCATAACGGGATGTGGAAAGCATTTGATTTTGTTGTTGCAACTTGGCAGAGTGATAGAAAGTAGGGTAGAATTCCGGCTGCCCTCGAAGTTCATAGTTTTGTAAAGTAATGTCATTTTGTTCATGATTATTATACTTTTTCAAATGATTTTTGCTTGGTCCAAGTAGAAAGGAATTTCTGGTAGACTGAATGTTGTTGTCCATGCTATATCCAGCTGCATCAAATTTCGGTAAATTTTCATTTCCAATCACCTTGGTCCTAGCCAAACTAGAATTCTCAAATATTTTCATGAATTCACTCTGTAACCCTTTTGGAAGCTGATCATATAGCAAGTAGCTTCTCGAAGAGAACAACCAGATCAACCTACAAACCTATAAGATGTGTGGGTATGACAAAAGGACAAATAAAACCTAAAAATTTATTACTTGATCATATGGAAACAACGTACCAAACAGTTACTTTAAAACTATGGAAGCCAAGGTGACGTACCTGCGGACCTAACAATGCAAAAGAAAATTTAATGGCCGTGAAATAATTTTCTTCGATGGCTTCCCTGAACTCATTTTCAGAGAGTGGTTTACAAGCACAAAGCCTTTCAAAACGAACCTACATACAAAATGCAACCAAAGGCAGAGTCAAACTTTGTTTAGGAAAAGCTTTAGGCTTTGTTTGGGACGGCTTTCTTAAGGCAGATTTTTAGTACTAAAATTAATGTTTTTTTACTAGAAAGATGCTTTAAGAAGCTGAGAAAAAGCAGTCTCAAACGAAGCCTTAGTTTCATAGCCAATTACACATATAATCCAAAGCAGTTAATACGCAAGATAAACAATCATGAAGCAAGAGTTGAATCTGGTTTATGAAATAAATCTCATAAAAAAAAGGGGATGCAATAGTCGATAATATACCTGAGCAGGGAAACGCTTATTTGAAATGGAAAATGCTCTAGGCACGATATTCATGGCACCATCAGAAGTAGCCTGGAAAATTCCATGAAGTTTTCTCTCATCAGGCTCAAATAGAAACAGTATCATGCCTGTTTTGATTTGCTTCACAAGGTCTGAATGCACAGAAGGGAGTCCAAACAGTTTCCTCTTAAAGCTTTCCTTCTTTGTAAGATTATTGCACACGAAGATTGCCCCCATGAAATCAGAATCAGGTTTAGGAAATCTGTTACTCTTACCGTATTCCATAGTAAACCTTCCGAAGCCCCATAAGAATCAGGAAAAAAGGCAGTCAAGAAAAAGGACGTGAACATGGCATTGCCATAAATAAGAAGATAAATTAAAGCTAAATAAAATGAGAATAGAACCAGAAAATAACTCTGTTCCTGCATAAGATAAAGGAAACCGCCTAAACCACATAACTACTTATAAATCTCCAAATGATGAAGAAGAGTGTTCGATGTAAACAGGCTATTAAAATGCATGGTGAGCCTTAAGCAGAAAAACAACAGCAGATGAGTGTTAGTTGAATAACCAACATCAAATAGCATGCATATACCAAATATTAAAAAGAAATTTACGCATTTAAAGTTTCATCAGCTTAACTAAATCTAAGGCTGCAGCGCCCCAGGTAAGAAGAATGGCAGTGACAAAATAAACCTAAAATCATCCCAAGCAATTCATACTGCTACATAATGCAAAAGTAAAAAAAAAACGAAGTAAAACAGAATCCACATCCTCAAAACTTTCTCGTAGTTTTACAATAATGTAGATAACAAATGGCTGAATCAATATGAATCTCATCATTCACTAACTATACAGTAATTTTTCCCCAATCCAAATAGAACATTCTTTTAGTTACTATTCCTGTAACCAAACTCCCAGAACCTCAATCAGAATGCAAAAAAATTTCAGACGAAACAGAAAATCACTAACTATCAAATAAAAACCTAATAATCCTATGCACTACGAGTGTAAACGAGTCGAGTATTTATCTTATCAAGCTTGGCTTGTTTAATCCTTGTTGAGTTCGAGCTCGATTATTGGGCTCAAGATCGACTCGTTTAGAAAATATCAAGCTCGAGCTCATTTGAGAAGCACCAATGCATGGGATGTGCATTATTATATATATAGTAGCTTGATAAGCTTTCGAGTTGAGTCGAGTTGAGCTCGAACTCGAGCTCGTTTATCATATGAGCTCGAAGCTTGATAAGCTCGGCTCGCGAGCTCGTTAACGAGTCGAGTTTGAGCCGGCTCGGCTCACTTACACCATTCAAAGAACAGGTTAAGGACCCACCTTTCACCTAATTGATCCCAACTCATCAAAAAATATCGTGCTCAGAGAGTTGAATGGCGCACATACCCTTCTTTATGAATAAACAAAAAAATTACATATTATAATACAAGATGTAATTTTAATTATTACGTTTCCTCTATAATTTTTGTGATGAATAAATAATTCAAAAGATAATTTTTTTTTAAGAAAACTCATTTAATTATTTCTTAGAAATTGTTTGGCCAATTTTTTGGCATCTTTTGAGAAAAGATTATATCAGGAGAAGTTATTTGCACAAAATTAAAAAAAAAATTTTGATGTGAATTACATAACTTATAAATAGAAATATAAAACATTAGTATGTATCTTTTTTGCTTAAGATAAAATTTAAAGAGTAATGCTACAAAATTTAACTCGATATTTTAATGTTCTATTTGGGTCAACTTTATTTTTTTTTTAAATAATTTTAGTACGAAAAATTTTTGTACTAAATCACTTGAGGCTTCATTTGAGAGGACTTTATGACTATTTTTTAAAATAATTTTTTAATAATAAAAAAATTATACTAAAAAAATGCTTCAAAAAATACTAAGAAAGTCATCCCAAATTAAGGCTTCGTTTGGGACGGCTTTTTTATTGCTTTCTAAAATGGAGTTTTAATACAAAAATAAAAAATTTCAATTTGGTTCCGTCTCAGGTTGTTTGGGTTCCCAAAAGTAATATTACTCCCTGTTAAAGCATTACGATTCCTGAACAAGTTGAACCTTCTCTAGAGCCGCAGAATGAAATACCAGTAGCTAAAACCGCATAATTTATAAATCACTCTCTTACTACTTCTAATGTTCCTGATGGCACGCCCATCCCAAATCTTAATTCCCCTACAGATGAATGTCTGGGGGATACCGATTGTGCTCAAATCTGTATTGTGAACCCTCCTACTGTTAAGACGAGTAACATGTATTCTTCTCTTCAGGGTTCTGAGGACTTAGTGGTATCAAATTTTGATAATGATTGCAACTCTTACTCGGAGCAGATTTCAAACTCAAGTGGGAAAAAATCTAAATCTTCCCTTCCTAAGAATGCCAAAGAGAAAGGTTCCAAAAAGCCGCCTACCTCTTTCGCAAAGCGCAAATGATCTGTCCTAATATAGCGGCTTGGAATATTAGAGGATTTTCCTCCTCTAATAAGGTGTCATTCTGCAAAATGCTCGTCCACTCCCTCCGGTTGGACATGATTTGTATTCTTGAGAATAGAATACAGCTTCAAAATCTTTCTGATTTAAGTTTCTGCAACAGTCATCTGGTTTTTGATATGGAAGCTAGTTGTCACAACTTCCATTGTGCCAATCCGGGTAGAATCTGGATTAAATGGTCTACTAATAGACTTTCTTTTCAACCTAATTTTTTCTCGTCTCAAATGATAGCTGGTATGGTATATTATGGCTCTAGTACTCCTTTTCTTCTTTCTGTGATTTATGCTCTAATAGCCAGGTAGACAGGAAAGTACTTTGGGATGAGTTAAGAGCTATTTCCCCCTCTGATAGCCTTCCGTGGATATTAATGGGTGATTTTAATTCTTGTCGTTATCCTTTTGAGAAATTAGGAGGCAATCCCCTTCATCATATTCACCTGCATGATATTAACAGTGTTATCTTTGACACTAATCTTAAAGATTTGGCTTCTATTATTCCTTCTTACACTTGGTTTAATCAACGGACTGATAGTCCTATACACATCAAGTTAGACCGTATGCTAGTTAATGTGCACTGGCTATCATCTTTTTATAATTCTTATTACATCATTAAAAACCCTGAGGGATTGGATCATTGTCTTATTATTCTCAATTCCATGGTTAATCATTCCAATAAGCATAGGTTTCTTTACAAAAATTATTGGATCAGAAGTGAGCAGTTCTGGTTTTTGTTGTTTGACATCTTTGCGGTAAAAGCTGTGAGTAATCCCCTTGTTGATTTTTGTAATAAGATCAAGCTTTTGAAAGCAGCTGTTAGGGGGAAAAGGTGGGCAACTGCTAATATCATGACAGACCATATTAAGTCTCTTCAAGATAAGCAACTAGCTTGTCTTGACAGCCTTAATGCTGATGTTAATCTCTGCAATACATCTTTAGAGCTTAAGAATACCAATTTGTAGTTGGAAGTGGCCTCCTCTATGTGGTTTTCGTGGGTCAAACAGCGGGCCAAAGCCAAGTGGTTATCACAGGGAGAGGATGATCTCAAATTTCTCTATGTTAGGATTCGTATGAGGAGTTATAAAAAAAACTGCTATTACCCTTGTTATGTCTAATCAGGATGGCTCTGTGACTGAAGCTATTAAAGATTCTATATCTTATTTTCAAACTCTTTTCAATGCTCCTCAACATCTGGATTTTGACATTAATACCTTTCCTCCTGGTAGCGTAATTGATATGGAATCTATTAATTCTCTTATTGTCCGAGTATCTGATTCTGAGATTAAGAGAGCTACTTTTTTTAGGGTCTTCCAACTCCACACCCGATCCAGATGGCTTCAACTTTGAATTTTATAAATCTACTTGGGTGCTTATTGGTCCATCGGTTTGTAATGCTATCAAGTATTTCTTTTATAATGCTTATATTTCCCGTACTATTAAAGCTACGGCCATCACTCTTATTCCTAAGTCCAGTCATGCTGAGTCTATTTCTGATTTCCGTCCTATTGCTTTATGTAATACTTCTTACAAAATCTTTGCTAAAATTTTGGCAGATAGGATGAAGCCTATCATGCCTAATATCATTAAAAAAAATTAGGCGGGTTTTATTAAAAACAGAATCTCTACAGTTCTCCTAGCTAATGAAATTCTTCAGTTTTCAAGGAAATCTTCTAATTTCATACTTATGTGTGTTAAGTTTGACATTAAGAAAGCTTTTGATAGTGTGTCTAGACAATTTCTTCTTGCTAGGATGGTGCAAAAAGGTTTTCCTAATGCTTTTATTAAATGGGTTGAAGCCTGCATTCTGGATATTTGGTTTTCTTTGTGCATGGATGGAGCTTTGGAGGGGTTTTTTCCATCAACTTCTAGGCTTAGGCAGGGTTGTCCCCTAAGCCCATACCTTTTTAGTATAGTGATGGATATTCTTTCTTGCATGTTGGACTGTAATCTGCAAGAGCAACACTTTGAAGGGCTCTCGTTTGGGAATTATAGGTTGTCCCATCTTTTATATGCTGATGATTTGATTATTTTTGGGAAAGCTGATATTGATAACTACAACAAACTATCTCAAATTCTGAAAGACTTTTCTATGACTACGGGTCTACATGTGAACTTTGAGAAAAGTTCTATTATCCTGCCTCCAAACTATAATATTGCGGATGAAATTTGCTCTTCTCTTAATATTACCTCTACAACCACTAGTATGAATTATCTTGGCATTCCATTATCTCCCTTCCACCCGAAACTTGCATGTTTCTCCCTGCTTATGGAAAGTATCATTAATAAGTTGTCAGGCTGGAAGGCTATATCTCTCTCTTTTGCTGGCAGACTTCAGTTCCTCAGATATACTATTGGAATACGATTGCCTACTAGATTCGTGGTTGTATAATACCTAAAACAATTCTCAAGCAAATTGATAGGCTGTGCTAAATTTCTTTTCTTTGGGGACTCTTCTGCTAAAAAATTGCACTTAATATCTTGGAGGAATACTTGCAAGCCAAAGGAATTTGGAGGCATTGGCTTACCTTCTCTGCATTCTCTTTAGTTTAGCTTTAACTGCTCACTTATTCTTAGATTATACAATGCTAATAGTCCTCTTAGCAGTTGGCTATTAAACTTATACATATCTCCCTGGAAGGAGCCTATTTCTAAAGCCTCTAAGTATGAAGTTTATTTGTAGGGATGCAAATTTGGCCAAAGATAAATTTCATTTTAGTGTGTCTGCTCACTCTAAAATAGCTTTGTTCTGGGATCATTGGTTTAAAGATAAGTGTGTAAGAGAAATTGCTGCTCTTCAGCCCCTTTTATATGTTTTTCCTGTTAATGAGCGTATTAATGCTATTATTAATGGGGATGCTTGGGCTTTGCCTGGCTCTATGCCTCAAGAAGTTCATACTGCTCTTTCTGAAGTGCCACTTATCCCTACTACTCGGACCAGCCTATATTGGGGAGTTGGTAAGATTTGTAAGCATAAGAATTTTAGGGACTTTTATTACATACATGATACTAAAGTGAATTGGTGGAGATTTGTTTGGCATAAGCACTTTATCATAAGGTACTCCTTTTGCTGGATGGCTATTTCTGGAGATTTAAAAACTATAGATTCTTTGTTAACTAGGGGTATCAATGTGGATCCCAACTGCTCATTATGTCACTGTTGTGCTGAAACTGTCAGTCACCTTTTCTTTGAGTGTGACTATTCTTTCTCTATACTCGCAAAGCTCATGTCTAATCTTGGGTTCTTACTGTTAAGACCTGATGTGCTGCATATTTTTGAATATATTAATGATACACATGACAAGAACAAAGAGTTTTATTATCTCCTCATATGCTCGGCGATATATTTTATATGGAGAGAAAGGAATGAGAGGAAATTTGGGGGAATTTTTGTATATTCTACATCTTTAGCTCTGAAAATCAAAGCTGCAGTTTTTTCCAGAATTATGAAATGGAAATCTAGATATATGTTGATGAATTTGCTGTGAGGCATTCTTGGTGCTGCAGTTTGGTTACTGATGGTTGCTTTACCTGGGAGTCTTGGCTTTCTGGAAGTTTGGAAGGGGCTGCCCTTCTTCTGTTTTGTGATTTCAACGACTATTTTATTCAGGAAGAAGGGCAATGATGATTGAATTGCCTTTTTCTCCCTTGGAGGGCAGGATTTTGGTAATTTTTTTTACAACTAAGTAGAGAGAGCGGCAATTCCTGAGCTCGGGGCTTGTTTGCCTCCCTCTTCGTGCTGTTTTTTCTCTTATTATTTACTTTTGTAGGTATTTTTGTATTGGGGAGTTTTTTCTTCCCTGATTAGCTGAACTTTGCTTTTGTAAGTTTTTTCCTTTATAATTCCTTTACTTACATGTAACTAGTTCATTTTAATGAAATAAGTGATAATGCCCAAAATTTACCAAAAAAAAAATCTTCGTTTTAAAAAACAATAAAAAAGCCGACCTAAACGAAGCCCAAGTCTAAGAGGAGTGTTCTTCAAACACCTAGCATTTTAACAATCCTGAAGTAATGAACCATCTAATGATTTTTATTTCAATAAGCCTCATTCAGAACTTAAAAAGAAGCCAATCATCTATAAAGCTCTTTTAATACATTTAAACCAAAAATTACAATTTTAAATTTCTAAGTTACTCAATCTCATTTTTTGTTAAATTGCCGACTAACATTTTACAATTACAAGAATCTGTACACCAAATCCAACATAACTCGACCAAAATTTGTGTTACGTTTACAATAAAGAGAGCCAAAAAATACAATAGGAAAGAACTGTAACATCTCAGGTGCAAAGATCCTCCAAAGCTACCTTCTCCCTTTCTTGGAGGTCTTTCCACTCTTGACGTTAACAGCATATCTTTCAGCATCTTCTTCTTCTTCATCATCATCATCCCCAACCTTCCTCCGTCTCTTGTTCCCTGCACTCTCTTTTATTTTCTGCAGTTGTTGAAGCAGAATATTGAGAAAATGGAAGAAGAAACAGAAGAAGTTCAAAAGAGAATATGTAAAGAATTTAAATACCATTTGAGATATTCTTTTTGCATCTGAAACTCTCTCCAAGAATAGTAAAACTTCAGCCTCCTCCGCTGGAAACTCTGGCAACTTTTTTCCTGCAAATTTCAAATCAAACAATAACAGCAGGTTAAGTTCTACTCCTCACCTCCAACAATTTTATCTTCCATGTCAAAAAGCAAAAACATACCAATAAGCTGTTCTATCTGAATGTACCATTCCACTTCGTACTGGTTTACTAATGAGATCGCTAAACCAGACCGTCCAGCACGAGCAGTTCTGCCTACTCGATGGATGTAATCCTGCGCCCATTTTAAGAGAATATTGCAAGTGGGAGATAGCATTAATAAGGAAGCCATGCTAGATTGCAAAATTGTTTCTGATAAGGTTTATATTTACGGAACATTCTATTTAGAGTAGAAAAACTTGATGTCTGTCAATCACTCACAAGTTCCAACAGCAAAAATAAACAGGCCAGATCATATGGAAAACAGTAGCTTTTTATAAAAGTGATTATAAAATTGTGATGGAGAAAACAGTTTCTTTTAAAGCAGCTGTAGAAAGCAGCTTTCTGGCCCAAATTTATTGAAAACAGTGACAAAATAATGGCCAAACATAAATTATGATTAATTGCATAGATCTGTAACGGACAGCAGTGCTCCCAAATGCAAAAAATTGAGTTGTGGCATAAAAAAAAGTACCCTAAACACCTTATATTATCGAAGATCTGACCATCCTCCGCCCAAACCATAGAATTTAATTTGAAATTTGCATCCATATACACTACATGAGATAACTAGCAGCACTTATTGAAGCCCAGGACAAAAGCAAAATTGAGAATAATCAAAGGAGAAAAAAGACAAATACCCTGAACTTGGAATGTGAAATATCATGAAAAAGCCACCCTTTTTGATGCATCAACAAAGGGATTCCCTATACAACGGGTTCTTTGCATTTCAGAAAAAATCAGAAGTTCTTTTAACAATTGTATAGCTATATGCAAGCATGATTGCGTATGTACATGCATAAATGCACTAGCACAATCCCCAATAGAAAATCCAAAAAATAGGAGTGGCTGTGTATATAAACACATGTTCCGTCGACCTACGAGGTTCCGGCTGCTTTTTCTGAACCGGTCCCTAGTGGACTGGTTTGGGTTTACCACCGCCGGCCCAAGCAAGGAGAGAGAGGGGGGCCGGCCACTCGGTTGGGCCCCACACCTTGTGTAATGCTAGGTTTGCTTGCGAACTAGTGTATTACCCTTGGGGTTACTTGCGAACTCAAGTACTTCCTATCAACACACTAGTCATAACGAGGACAAGCTCAATCAGATTAAGACAATAAGAAAAATAACCTTAGAATTGCTGGGAATGTCATAATTAATGACCAAATCAACTGATGGTATGTCAAGTCCCCTGCTAGCAACATCAGTGCATAAAAGAATGTTACAATCTCCAGCCTTGAATTTGTTCAATGCTCCCAGTCGCTTTGTCTGTCATGAGATGTCCATCAACAACACAAAAATTAGTAAGGTTGCATAAAGGAAAACCCACGCAATGAAAAAAAAGCACAGCTCAACAAGCTATTAAAGAAAATAGGTGAATTTATCGTTCACAGTACCTGGCTCATTTGACCACTAATGGGTATTGCCTTTAGACCAAGGTTCCGAAGTAGCAATGCCAGGAGTCTTGTAGAATCACAAGTACGAGTGAAGACCATGGATGTGCTTCCGGACATCTCGGTCAGAATGTAAACAAGATAGCAGTCCTAATAAAATTATCAACACAACAACAGAAGAAAGTCAAAGGACAAATATCAAAATACATGGTAGCTGATCAAGCAAATGATTTAAAAATAAGTAAGAAACTACAACTACGAATTGAATATGCTCAACTGAAAATATGGCTTAAATATGCAGGATTACATTTTTAATTTATATAATGCACGAACCCCATCTTTTTTTTAAAATGAAGGATAATATGTTTTGATTTATCAGTTTCTAAAGTAAATATTTTTAGTTTGTATTCAAAGCACCCAGAGCCTCTACCATTTTAAAAAATGATGAGTGTTTCTCAAATTATTCTCTTATAGAAAAATATATGTATAGAAGAACATAAACCCAAACAAATTTCAAATTATAAAACTTCTAAAATCTACAAAGATATTTCCCCGTAAAGAACCGAAGAATTCTAGATCAAAGAAGCATGGAATTCATTAAAAGAGAAGCAGGTGTAGAAAATAAAGCCGTAACTATTAATGTGTTCTTTGCCTACTTTTTTTCTTTTTCTTTCAAGTTGTTTGAGGTTGGGAGTTACTACTATATTCCATTATACTTGCGGCTCTAGTTATAATGGACAAGAAAATTTCACTTAGATCATAGGCACTGTTAATTTCAAATAAGCTCTTCAAATTTACCCAAAAAAAAATAAAAACTTAGTTTAGCTTTGTTAGAAAAGAGAGATTAGGAAAGAATCACACATTTACTAGTAGAAGCATATATGTACCCATAAATAGGCAAGGGAAGTGAACAAGAAATAAAAAAGGGATTTAAATAAAAACCAAAAAAATTCTTATGTATTTATATATATAACATCTAAATCTTTATTTTTACACATAACACAGAAATCTTTAAATCACATTAAAAATATCACAAATATTCACTTTTCTAAAGTAAAATACACTTTTTTATACAAATGTTTTATTGTGATTGAGACACTAAAAATTTATGCGGTAAATATGTAAATACATAAAAATTTTGTGGCATGTATGTAAATCCCCCCTAAATAAAAATATAGTAAACAAAATATTATCAACAATGAAGAAATATTGTACTATAAATTGGTGTAAATTCCTACTACAAATAATTGAAACACTTCTCCACAAACTCAAGGTAAAATAGAAAATATCAACTTGAATTTGACAATAATAGACCAAAGACGAAGTATTCAAACATTTTATTACCAAGGGATTTCAAGTGTCGCAAGAGAAGTGCGACTGATTAGAGAAAGAGATAGTATTTTGAATCAAATACAAATATATAAATGATATTCATGCTAGAGAAGGCACAAATAGAATCTTTAAATAGAGGTATCAATAGAGGATATTGACAGAGTTTTGAACAGAGACCAACGACAAAGAGTATTGATAGAAGGAATTGACAAAGAAATTGACATAGTGAGGACAAAAGATGTTGGCAAAATTGCTGATTGGGAATAGAGGGGAATGCGAAGGATATTTGTAAATATGCTATGGGAATGCAAGCGTTGAGAAGGATGTTGGGCTATCAACTGAGAAGGCACGTACAAAGGTGGTCAAACTCTTCAAGTGAAGATCTACAAGCATGCAAGCACTAAAGGTATAAGTAAAGAAGAATTGCAGGCTAATGAAACAATCATTCTTATGTAATACAGACGTGTTCGAGGCTTTTGAGGAGACAAAATGAGAAGAGATATAAGAGAGGATTGCATTGCTCTGATACCAAGTTAGAAGGGAGAATTAAAAATAGCTACATCTTAACTAGATAATCATACAAACACAAACATACATATGCCTATATATAGGCAAGTTAAAAAGAACAATAAAAATAAATTAAAAGATATATTCAAGAATGAAAAAATATTACTAAAATAAATAGCCCATATTCCTACTATAAATAATTCATGTCATATGATAATTTAGATGATAAATTTCTATGAATATAAAACAATGTAATCTTTCATCTTCTTTGGGAAATATAATTATTTAGAAATTAGTTTTTCTTCTTTACAATATGATAATTATTTTATATTGAACATAGTGAAGGGAAGATGATGACCTCCTATAAGAATCTTATTTTCTCTCTATTTATAAAACTGATTAATATTTTCAACTCATAAAAATTTCTCTTCTATAAAGTATCAAGAAAATTCTATTTTGTTGACTCAAGTGACATGCAATCGATTCAAGTGTGACAAACTCTTAGTCATTCATCTAATCATATGATAGATCAAGAGGGTCACCAAAGAGGTTGACAAATCCACAAGGATGCATAAGAATAATTTCTTACGCTAATTTTTTTTTTTCAAATATTTTAAAAGAAGATAATTTAAAAGAATGTAAACAAGGTAAGTATGCTTTTACTATTTACTTCTTGGCTTGCATGAGAATTTGATTATTTTCAAATATGCCCTATCTAACTGCAGATTTGATAAACCAAGTCCAATTTTGTAAGCCCTATTAAGATCTCCCAGAATCTCAGCTTCAGATAAAAAGAAAATGCTTTGCTGAAGTATGCCACAACTTCTATATCTAGCATCAATATTCGATGATAGAAGTCCAAATATACTAATTAGCATAAAAGAAAGTTTGAAAAGAACCTTGTACTTGGCAGGGACCAATCGAAATTGCTGCTTCAGAGTATCAACTGTGGAATACTTGGAGGATGCCTCAATCTAAAAGGCAATTTATGCAATTTCATCATTTTAGGAAGAAATTAGAGCAATATCTTTGAAAATTTTCAAATCAACTTGTGGAATTAAAATATACCTTCACAGGATTCTTAAGGCAGGCTCTTTGCAGTTTTCCAACCTGCAGGAAACAATATCAAAGTATAATCATCAGTTCAACATAAATACCATCAAGGTAAAGCAAGATCAAGTTGTTCAGGTAATATTAAAAAATTGGATTATTAGGGAAAGAGAGTGACTCTTCCATAGAGTCTCAATGCAAGCAGTCTTACATATGCATTATAGAGAGGCTATTTTTGTTATTTCAATCAATAACCTAAAGAACTAGCAACCACATGGCTCCAGGCCCAACCACTTGCTAGGCTATTTCTAATACATACACTAAAAATGCTACAAATAGAATGCACTAGTCAAGTTAAAAACATAAAAAAAAAAAATATTGAAGTGAATACTGAATAGTTGAAGTGCAAGGTACTTGGGTCAGTACAACAGAAAGATATAAATATTTGAAAGTAGTTCTGATTTGCATAACACTACAATAACAGAAATTTAAAACCATATAATTAGATGATTTGCATTGCCTTATGATGCTAACTCGTAAGGTCAGCCAAGTGAAGTTTTTTTAATGTATTCTTCAACCCGTTCCTGAAACACGGGTTGAAGTTGATGAAGATTACGGATTTGAAATAGAATATGGGGCAAGATAAATATTAACTTCTGTGAGGATCCAAAAGTTCCATTATTAGCAAGTGAACTTCCTAGAAAAAGCAGAGCCAACTGCATAAGAACATACTTATGCAAATAATCAGTTCACAAATCATCAGCTCATTATTTATGAATTTGAAAATTATATCAATCAATTATGCACCTAATACTTAAACAGTTAAAGTTGACAATGTATGCTACAAGTACCAAAAGAAGATATAGCATCTAGGTAACAGACATTAGCAAGATGAAAATTAGAAACATCATTATGAAAAAGCATAAACAAAACAAGTATAAAAGGTAACATCCACCTTTTTTGTCATAGTTGCTGAAAACAGGTATGTCCTACGTTCTCTGGGAATAGCCTTAAGAATGTCATCGATAGCCTTCTCAAAGTCCATGTTCAGCAACCTATCAGCCTCATCTAAAACCTACCATCATCCGAACAAAACAGATCAACGTTATTGTCCAGTAAGAACTGCAAAATTAGAATGAATAGCTGCTAAGAAGAAAGTTAAGAAATCAGCCCTTGATAGAAGAGTGACATTGGAGGTTGGTATTATATATTAATTTTTTTCCCTAAAATATTTCAAATAATCACATAACATCCAAATTAAAAGTACAATTCGATAACCTTTTTAAACAAAATAAGGAATTATTGATCATGTGCTAGGGCATGTGCATTTTAACTAGCACATCTTACAAATGATGGGAGTAAAAATGAAATCATCATATTTGAGAATTTGGCAGCAAAAATCCATTTCTATTTGCATTCAACAAAAATAATATAGTTTAACAAATCTCAATGTTTTCTAAAATGTGTTTTCATCTACATACGACATTAAGGCCCAAAGTCAATTTAAAAATAATATAGTTGAGATCGATATAATCTTATGAAAACATTTTTCACTCTCACTTGAATCAGCCAGCTTAAACTTTTTACCATTATTAGTTGCATGACCAAGTGATAAAGGGGGGATTCAAGAATATTCTTAAATGAGACGAAAAGTTTGGAGTTATCATTATTGAAAGAGGAGAGACTAAATTGCAAATTAACAATTTAAAATTCAAAGAATAGGGGAACGGCCAAGGATAGAGAAGAGAAAAAATTCAAATGGATGATAAAAAGATCTTTCAATATGCTTTCCACCAAATCATACTAATGGGGTTGGCCTCAGAGGGAATTAAGGAAATATTCCAATTATTCTAGCTTATCTTCAATTTGAATTGCACTAAAGAGAATGCCTTAACCAATAGTTTATCATAACTTATCAAAACCTACGATTTTCCTTATAAAATAAGGCAACGAATAGGCCTCCTTGTAACCATGATGAGTTAATTGCATTTGGAATGAAGTTTGAAAATGTCAAGTTCAAATTTACTTGCAATTCTACTCCCCCTCACCCCATTTTTTAGCCAAGGCACTTGGCCGTGTCTTCTCTCTCCTCTCTCCATTTAAATGTCTCACAATTAACGTTACAAAGTTCCTGGGCAAGAATTCCAAGCTGGTCATCTTCTTTTCATTAGCATGCCTCCCAATGCACATAAAAAACTCCCAGGGTATGAATTCCAACTTGGCAAGAAACTTTACCCATCATCTCTCATTTCCTCATTAAAAAACCTAAATCTTGCTCGTAGTATTATAATTCCACTATAAAGACATGAAATCCGAAATTCCTATTTGTCCAAAAGGTCTTCAGACCCCAAGTACATATCACCCAGTAAAAATTTGTATGAATGAATAACAAACAAGAACTAAAAACATTAAATAAGTGCAATATGAAATTTATACAACAGAAGAAGCAACATAAACTCCTACCAAGTACTTCAACATGCGGAGGCTAAAACCTTTCGTATTAGACAGATGATCCAATAAACGCCCAGGAGTCCCTACCTGCATGAGTAATAAAAAAACAAGATAAATAAAAACAAAATTTAAATGAAACAAGAATGGTATTGGTTCAACACAAAAGTACCACCAGACTAAATGAGCTATCAACTTTTACATAAGCAACGAAACCCCTAACCATCGCACAGCTAAAAATACATCAATTTATATGGAAAAGTCAACATGTTCTGCTGCGACTAAATATTACAATTTTCTTTAATTATTAATTATTAATTAAATTATTTGCTCAAAGAATTTAATTAATTTAAGAGATTTAAATTTAATTAAATGGTTTTGTTAAATACTTTAACGTTATTAAATTATCAATTAAATCTCTTATTTAATTAATTTCATTTTTTATTATAAAATTATTTAAATTTAATTATTAATTAAATTAGTTGCTCTTTATTAGTTAATTAATTTTAATTGTTTATTTATTAATTAAAAGATTTTAAATTTAATTAAATAAGAGCTTTACTTTTATATATATATATATATATATATATATATGTTATTTATTAGTAATTATACAAATGTTTTCTCCCTTTCCCTTTTTAACTCGCTATTTGAAACAAGAGAGCGGCTGAGCGGGTGCGAGACAGGTGGAATTGAGGCAAATAATGGGAAAGCATCCAAGTGGTGCGCCTCGGGTTCGAATTCACAGAGGGAGTTGGCTCACATGGAGGAGACGAACGAAGGACGATCGTGCGTATCAGAGCCGACGGATTCAGAGAGCCTCAAGTGAGGTCAGTACACGTAGAGGCCAAGAGGAGGTTGGATCGGAGCCAGCGAGTGGAGGTCTGCACAGTTTGGTCAGAGGTGTATCGAAAGCAACAATCTTGGTACAGGCTTTGGCTTGGTCCTTCACTTGCAGAATGGAGAGGGCGTCAGGTTAAGCTGGTTGGGCTTCTACCTGCGGGAGGCTAGTTTGTGTGCAATGTTGGGTCCACCGTCGAGTTCGGATCGAGGGCGGAAAGTTCGGATCGAGGGCGGAAAATTCAGATCGAGGGCGGTGGGTTTTCGCTTCCTGTTCGGTTCTAAGAGCTCGAAGCAAGAAGTCCTGTGTGCTTTAGATTGAATGGGAGAGATCCCTCATTCTTCTATGCTTGTGAGGGAGTTTTGCGTCATGTGGAGTGAGAGCGTGGGATAATAGGATCGTGGGACAATGCTTTTGTGGGTGGATGGAGGTCCATGAGGTGATTAGGTCGACAGTTTTGAGGGAAAAAGAGAGTGGGTCGAGTTGAATATGTCTTCCTGTGTGCGGCACAGAGAGATCGAGAGAGGAAAGAGGTCGAGCACCTCTGGTCCTTGCATGCGAATAGCGATGACGAATCATTCCTCCAACCACTCATGCGTGTAGATTTGAGGAAATGAATGGTTATGTCCTTTGGGAGCGCCATTTGGGACTGAAATGGCATGAGGTGGGGCTGAGCTGGTTAGCAGTCAACAAAAGCACAAAACTTCAAAAGACTAAAAAATTAAAAATACATGAAAACAGATTTTCCGAACAATAAATCAAATTGGCTTTGCATATTTAGAACAGTCAGCCCATTATGTTGCCAATGAAAGATAACATTTCTAACAAGAAGGCTAATAAAATAAAGAAAAAGTTCAGGAAAAGTCATACTATAATATGAGGACGCTTTGCAAGAGAAATGGCCTGTGCCATCATGTCAACTCCTCCAACAAGCTGCAAAGAACCAAAAAGGATTGAAACCCTTATTAAGCAATTAGTATTTAAGCAGATGATAAACTTGTATTAATAAAACAAATAAACAATCAAAGAGAATCTATCTATCAAATGGAAAAATATGCTGACACACAAACAACATAGTTTTTCATATTTGAAAGTTAAGACAAATCAAAAAGATCCTAATCCCATACGCCAAAAAAGCCAAATTCAGACAATTATGAGCATTTTGACAAGTATGGTGCCATTATGAGTGTTAGCATTAAGTTTTGATATTTCATCTTTTTTTCAGTTTATTTTCTAGTAAAACATGCTTATGATAATGCTTCAATTGAGAGCAGGATATTTTCTTCAATGTTTTGATCGCATTGATGGGATTGGTTATTGTTGTAAGTGTTTAAATTCAGCACTTGTCGGATTCCATATTTCAGCACTGCTGATTCCTTCTCCCTATTCAGCCACTGCTTTGGTAGCCATTAATGCTGCCTCCTTTCGCAGCTTGTTTATACGTTATACCTGTTTTAGTGATGACCAGACTGGTAGTTATTATTGCGTAATGTTTCTAGCTATCTATGGTTCTGGCTACTGTAGCAGAATCCTAATATTTCAATCTTTTTTTTAATGGAACCCAAGTGTGCTGAATTGAAGCTTGTAGTATTTAATAAAAATCTTGAAAGAATTTAAGAAGCTATGATTTTTGAAATGTTTGAGATTATAAATATGCAAGGGATCGAGGTAATTTTAATGAAAAAAACAACATATTTCTTATAAAATTGATGGGCATGGGCTACTGGTTGTTGATTCTTTGAGCATTTTGTGAGTCTTACCAAAAACTTCTAAGTCACGATTTCCCTTGCACTTATATGAGACTTCAATGTTCAAATTGTTTATTTATATATTTGTTCTTTCATCCAAACAAAATTGCGTTAGTGTGTGCTATTATGATCTTCTCAAGTTTGATACATGTTGATTTTCATCTTTGTGATGAAAATCTCAATTATTGTGAAATTATATATCATATTTCTTATAAAAATTCAAGTTTTAGCAACTTTTGTTTTATTGTTTCGAACAATGAGGTGCCTTATTTGATCTTTGCTTTGCTTGAATTTAAAGTTGAAAAATTTTAAATTTTGATCTTTTGACTTTTTTGCATATTTCATCTTAGGTTCGTATTAGTAGACCCATATGTCCAAAGCATCCCGCATCAGCATGGTTGGACAGATGCTACGTAGATTGACTCAAATTATAGGCCATACAACATATGCCCCAAAAGATAAAAGTTACATCATAAGGCCTAAGCCATGTTATCAAATAACTAACCATCAAATAAAAGATAGTTAACAGCATAGAAAAACAAAAAATTAATACGCAAAGTGTCAAGATGTATGTACAAGTACATATTCACAAACTATTTAAATTTTACTTGCTGAAAATGGTCTGGAAGGACTTCACTATATATTCTATAAAAATAATTGTAAACACCGACATAAAGATAATAGACATAGAAATAAAAATAAAAATTTGCCTTCAGAAAAGATGGTCCAACTGAAAATATGATAACTGATAAGTTGAAAATCTTTCAGCATATTTAGATTATTGAAATCATATAGTTGAGCAAAAATTGATGTTGTAGAGCATATAAATAGATGATTAATTACATTACAAACTTTGGTATATGTGTTTTACAAAAGGCATAAAACCTCTACTGACTGAAAAGTTAAAACAAACAAAAAACATTCAAAAATAAAACATTAAGGATCAATAGACCAAATAGTAATTACAAGATAAGCATTTTTAGTCAATGTGATATTGTTAATTAACACACAATAATAGTAGAAGACAATGAGATACATAGGCGTGATAGGTTAAACTATCTGGAATCAATTATAGATATAAGGTTATAACTTTTTTTGTTAAGCCTGTGTGGTTAAAATGAAGAGCTGCCTTAGAAGTATAGTTCAACAAGAGATTGTTATAGAAACTAAGTAAATTTAATAAAACTATGACTAAGCAATCTATGTTGTATCGATCAGAATGTTGGATAATTAAAAAAAAATCATTAATAGACAAGTTCGGTATAACAGAAAAAAGAGGATGCTAAGAAAAATAGGTGAAAAAAAGAGAATGATATTCAGGAAATGGTTAAAAAAAGAGAAAGATATTCAGGAAATGGTCACATGCAATGAATGTAAAATGGAAATAGTGACATTTATTAAAGATCGGACAATAAAAAAAATAAACTCTGATAGCTTCACATGTACAACAAAAGATTGTAGATGCATTAATAAGATAAGTTGATCAAATCAATGTCGAAGAATTTATTTAAAAAAAAAAAAAGAGTAGACCAAAGGTAACTTGAATAGAAGTGTAAATTAAGAGACCATGGATTCATAAAGCAAATTTCAAATAGTTTAGACTAATGATGATGATTAGGCATATAACTAAAAACTTTTGAAGGCAAGTGCAACCTAGTAAACTCACAAAATTCATTAAAAAATTACTATTATGGGCTTGAAGCTATCGGTCAACGGTCAACCAGTCTAAAGACAGCATAAATCTTCTCAAAACACCTTAAGCACAATTCCCCGCATGTGGTTCAGTATAAAAATAAGCATCTCAACAATATAGAAACTCAACAAACCATCCAACTCAAACATTAAGCCCTAAATATGTAGGCAAATGCAATACTTCCTTGGTTTACAATCTTCAGCTCGATATCACCCTGATGATTCTCATGTACAACATTCAAATGAATATGGAACAGGTTTCATGAATTTTCATAATATATCATCAATCAATTGAGTAAAAAAAAGGATGACTGAACAACCTATAAAGACCCACATAAAAGTTTAATTTACCCTTATTTAATCAAACAAAATCATTAAATACACACTAGATATAATAAACAAGCCATACATTTGAAATAATATCTCTTAAGCTGAAAAGAGAAATCATTTTCACATGCAATCATGGCCATCATTTGAGAATATTTTGATGATGCCTTCATTTATGGTTATAAACAAAAAAAAAAGTTCTTGTAATCATAAAAGTCGCTAACTTAATGATGTTAAAGTGAGTTAATGACTAATGCATCCATGCATTTGGGTCTAGAGTTTCATAATGCAAATATAGAGTAAATTTAGAAAATCACACAAATTTAAATTCTTAACTCGCAAACTTCTAATTTAAAACATTATTCATCAATTCATATGAAAATCAGTAATATGCAAAAACCACATAAACTGCATTAAAATTCATAAGAAGAAAAGCAATCAAACATTTGATAAAAACTCACAATGTAATTGGAAAAAAATCGTATTGTATCAAATTTAACAATAATCAATAATGCAATTCAATCAATAAATTAGATAATAGAAATATAAAAACAAAAGGAAAAAACACTAAAGGCCTTCGAACATACAAAGCAAGATAACTACCCAAAAATGTTAGTTCACGATTGCATTGGACTAGAAAGAATCACATTTAACTAGTAATCAATCAAATTAAAAATTCACGTAGAATCAAAGCAGAATATCAAGTAGAATTGTTTTTTCATGCTTTAGAAACCTTTATGTAAAACACAATTCTTCCAAATATTTTATTGCCAAATAAAAAGATGGAACCAGTAGCCTCCCTTGCAGAAGATTAAAATGACTGAATTTCTATCACAGAGGACCACCCAGAAGAGTATGGTAATAGAAAACTCACAATATCAAGGCTCAAATCTAAGTGCAAGGAGAATGCTTTTCCCCTTCTAAGAGTATAAAATTAAATTAAACTACTATATATCTATCAATCAAAGTAAATATCAAGTAGAATTATTTTTGCTTGCCTCAATAACCCCCCTATGTGTGTATATATATATAACTCAAGACTCCTTTGACGTGCCATCTAGCAATCCACCACTTGGGCATAAACCAAATAAAAGAACTCCCAATCATTATCAAGAGGAACGAGAACAGATGATATGGCATTCCAAGCATTTTAACCTTAGCTACCCTTCGAGATGACAACTAAAGTATGGTTGTTAGCATCATATAAAACATGGATCACAATTGGAAAATATTAAATGTTCAAGCATTCGCTGAAATTTAAAATAGCTTACCACCGAGCATTTCACACCGATGCTAGATCCTAACGCTTCAAATTGCTGAGAAATTTGAATCGCCAGCTCCCTTAATAAAAAAAGAGAGAAATAACATGAGAGCTATATCAAGAGAGTAATAAAATGAGTCATTATTAGCAGATAAACTAAAAAGGATTACCAGTAAAAAAAAACATGTAAAAGACGAACAAACCTGGTTGGAGACAATATACAAGCGAAGAATGGTTGTGGCTTCTCAAGAAGAGCTTGGATAATTGGAAGGGCAAAAGCTCCAGTCTTGCCTGATCCTGTTTGTGCAAGTCCAATAACATCCCTTCCTGCAAATAAAAAGATGTGAAATCAACTCACAAAAATATAATAGTAGGCATAACACATATCAAATCCAACCCTCTCCCATATCAAGATGAACAACAGAGAAAGAGAGCACAATGCTAGTCCAAAATCCTGTTTGCCGGAAGGTGAATAGAGAATGAGTAAATATTTCAATTAAGCAACCTAGCCTACTAGATTATTGTCAAATTTAAGAACCCTGTCAACACCAACAATCATCAAATAATGACCATCTGAGATCAAGATAAATGCTCCAAAAAAGGCTAATGAAATTAATAATTGAAATCAACTAAAAGGCTGTCAAGAAAGCACCTTCAAGAGCATGAGGAATCGCCTCCACCTGAATCTTCGATGGGGTTTTCCACCCCAAACTCTCACAAGCTTCGACCAACTGGTCGCACACACCCAAACTCTTAAAGGTCCTTTCATCTCCATCTTCTGCCATCGTTAGCTATATTCTGAACCAGACATAAAAGATAAAATCAGAAGCAAACAAAATCTCATCATTTTACTTTGGGGGGTTTACATACCTACTACTTTATATCTTACTATTTATATATCTAACATCAAAATTTTACTATTTCATGCCTAACCCCCATACCCATAGACAACTTTAGGGGCTGTTTGGTATAGGATTTACAGCGGGATTTAAGTCGGATTTACGCTAAATCCAGACAAACGGCTTTAGTGCGCGCGTTAAATCCCGGCGATGGGTAAATCCCGTATAAGCATTTAAAGCTTGAATACCGGAGTTACTAAATCCCTCGGTTCGGTGGATTTATGGGATTTGGCCGAAGAAGCGCGCGAAAGGGAGAAAGTTACCTTCACAGCCAGCGAGCTCCCGTTCTTGCTTCCGATCAAAATGTCGTAACTTCCGATCCGACAGAAAGGAAAGTCGTCGAAGGAGCGAAGTCGAACACGAAGAAGCCGAAGAAGCGCCGCGGGCAATCTCTACACCTCCAAGCGAAGCAACGAAGCCGAACAGCAACGACGTAAAAAAGAAGATGAAAGGCAAACCCTAACGCCTCGAAGTTATTATATTGAGGCGACTAAGCATGATTAGGGCCGTAAATTAAGCATATTTTTTTAAAATTTAAGGGGCTGTTTGGTATCGGATTTATGTTGGGATTTAAGTCGGATTTACGCTAAATCCAGCCAAACGGTTTTTGTGCGCGCGTTTAAATCCCGGGATTTCATAAATCCCGAATTTAGGGATTTACGGCTTAAATCCCGGATTTACTAAATCCCTCGGTTCGGTGGATTTAACGGGATTTAGCCGATGAAGCGCGCGAAAGGGAGATATAATTAATAGTGTAATTAATAATTAATAAGTACTTTGTACATGATATGTTATTAAATTCATAACACGTTAATTTTTATTTTTAATTATACATTTATTTTAAATTTATAATTATTTTCTTCACATTCCATAACTATCATAAATCTTGAAATATGTACCAAACAGTTTCTCAGAATTAAACAGGATTTAACATTTGACATACCAAACAGTTTTCAGGATTTAACATATTTCGGATTTACTAAATCCAGATTTATAGGATTTACTAAATCCTACTAAAGTTAAATCCCACTTGTTGCCAAACAGCCCCTAAAAGTAGGCATGAACGGGTGATTATATTTAATATATGGGCAATTTAGTAATTTACTGAACACCAAAGTCGCCCTTTGACCTGTTTATAATCGAATGCTGAAGCCCTAGTCCCCATCCGATTCTGCGTTTGCCCTCTCCGATCTCGTCGACAACTGCTCTTCACGGCCGGATTTTGCCATTTTAGGTAAGTTTGTGTATATTTTTTGTTAAATATTTATATTTATTAATTCCTTTTATAAATAGAAGGTTGAATGAGAAAAAAAATGCACACTGTAAAAATGTAGAATGAGATGATTTTAGGTGATGAGCTATGATTTTAAAACTTTCACTTAGGAAGTAATTTAGGATTAGGACCAATTAGGGTTAAACTAGATTTAGGGTTAAAATAGAAGTTAAGGGTGTCAAAATTGGGTCACAGGTCGGGTTTGGGTCGAACCCAACATAAACTTATAACTGTTTGACTCGACATGAACCCTATTTTGCAAATGGGTCACAAATCTCAACTCAAACCTGACTCACGCGGGTTATGGGTTGACTCGACCAGACCCGCAAATCTCGATTTCTTCCCAACGCGATCAGTGCAGTGCAAGTGAGGTAGGTACGGGCGAACCTGTGATGGCGAGCGGGAGTTCTACTTCACTTCTATTTTCTTTCTCTCTCTCATCATCATCACCTTCTTCTTCTAATATTTCGATGGGTGTTGAAGGGTCGGTCTAGTCAAATAAGGGAGAGATGGGCACAACCTGACGACCGCACAAGAGCGACGACGGTGGTGTGATCGATTGTGTCTTCGGTCTTCCAGCGTGAGATGGTGAGAGTGAGACGTGTGTGATGTGTCTTACACCTTAGGGCTGACGGACAGGGGATCGATTCAACTAGGCGGCGAAATGGCTAGCAGGCGGCGAGTCCAAAGCTGAAATGACACATAGTTTCTAGGTCAAAATTGAGTTATCAGGTTGACCCGAACCTGACCTAAAATTAGAAACGGGACAAGAATTGAGACCCGAGCCATTCTAAAAACGGGTTGACCATAACATCCTAACCCAAAAAATTTGGGTCGGATTTTCGAGTCATGAAAAATTTTGACATCCTTAGTTGAAGTTCTAGCAAAAATCAGCCATAATGAACGGAGGAAATTTCCGCTGCAATTAAGTAGTTAATATACGGTGGATTTGTAGCAAATATTTTTGCCATCAATTATGGTGAAATTTTTTGCCCCAAATCTGTTGTTCTTAACTACAAAAATTTCGATGAAAAACTAAACAAGGAACTTCTTTTTTGAATGCTCAAAATTCATCAAAAAGTTGTTGGAAATTCACTAGAATTTTTTTCGGCAGATTTATTTCTACTAAAAATGGCTTTCCGACATGGCATATAGCAACATATTAGGTTCCATCGGAAATCCGTTGGTAATTAGGATCACCGAAGGATTTTCATTTATTTTTGTCAGAAATAGTTGACTTTCATATAGTGATAGTTATGATCTTGATCCATATAAGATTACAAGTCCATTCATAGTTTGTCTCATCTAGCTCAACTATCCATTTTTTTACTCTTTATGAAGGTTTTTTGTGAGCCTTACATCCTTTTTAGATTTAGGTAGATCCATTTATCTAGAAATGTATATGTCCTCCATTGCTTTGAGATCAGAAGACTTCATTGGATAATATAATTCATATTTTGCTGATAGAGTATCATAAGACAAAACTTGACACTACCTTCACAACTATGTTGTCGATGATAAATTTATTAAATCTTGACCATCTTATTTCATTATTTTCTTAAATTTTTTACGTACACCCATCAGCCTTTGAGCCCATTCAAACTAATTTTTTTTTTTTTTTTTGTGATTCATTAATCATTATAATATAAAACTTTCTATGTGAATATGCATTCAACTAGTTAGTTATGATGATTCATTCTCTAAGCAAAGCGGGAAAAGACAGAGGGAGGGAGAGCTTTTTTTCTCTTCGCGAGAACTTCAGGATCGGAGAAGCATTCGGAACGAGTGACGCCTTCAGCAGAAGCAGAAACGATCCAATCCATTCGGGGAACAAAAAAACGAACTATTTTGACTTGATCTTCCTCTAGGTTTGAACCTTGGGTTATAAGTCTATCTTATAGTGCGATCTACTTTGAAGTATGAACAACTCTATTATGATGATGTTTTTTGAATCTCATTACACTCCTTAATTTGTACCTTGTAAAATTAGGACATAAGCACGACTGTCTTATTGAGACTACCTCTTAAAGGTATTCGAGAATGTAACTAATCTTAAGGGACACATTTTTTTTTATGAGGTTGATGAAACAAATTATATGCGAGTTTCATTTCAAAATTTATTGTGATAATATAAAATTTTATGAGTATTTTGAACAAGTTGAGATACGATAAACCTTTATTTGTAATCTTTCCTTATGGAATCTCCTATACAAGAATGCACCCTCATATTATCCCTATTTTTTCTTTTTAATAACCTATTTGTATTATAATTATAGATGTGCAATAATACCTTCAATTCAGTTGTGTTTGCCTATACATGTTATATACATTGCATTCAATTCAGTTGTGATTGTATATTTATATATTATTTGAACCTAATGTTCAAACCTTATCTATTGCATGTTAATCTATGATTTTGCTTCCTTTTATACAGATTACTTAGCCTTTCATAGTAATAAAGATAGCTTGGATTATATATCATCTCACATGAAATACAATAAAAAAAATACGGAATTGTATCTTTTTTTATTCTTAGTATCTATCTCATATTTGTATCTTTTTTGGGAGTTTTTTATTCTATGATTTTGTTTGGGACAGCTTTCTTACTGTTTCTTAAACCAGTTTTTCAGTACTCTAGAAAACTGCTTTAAGAATTAGAAAGAAAGCCGTCCCAAACGAAACCTAAGGCTTAGTTTGGGATGTGTTTTTTTATACTTCTAAAACAGCTTCCTAGTAAAAAAAATTTAGTAAGTTACTTTAAAAAGCAATAAGAAAGTCATCACAAATGAAGCCTAAGGCTTTCTTACTGCTTCTTAAAGTAGCTATACAACAACAACAATAACATCAAGCCTTTATCCCACTACGTGGGGTCGACTACATGAATCCTTTTTCTCCATTGTGTCCTATTAAAAGTCAAATTCTCGTTTAAATCTAATAAAGAAAGGTCATTCCTAATATTTTCTAACCAAGTCTTTTTAGGTCTACCCCTACCTTTCTTAAAGTAGCTATATAATACAAAATTTTTAATTATTGTACTTTAAGAAGCAATAAAAAAATTGTCCCAAACAAAACCTAAGTTATACAGTCCCAAGTCCCAACTTCCGAAAAAGTTCTTATTCTAAGGCTCTTACATCTCACCTTGACAACCTAAGCATTTTGCCCATAATAATAACCTTGATTAGGTTGCCAATCTTGTATAAATTTGAATGTAATACAGATGAACAACCGAGGCATATACTCCTAATAGTCTAAAAAAATTTCTTTCATTTTCGATTAGTGCATAAAAGATTCTTTGAGGTGTCATGCCATTTAGTTAGCCAACATGATATTTAGATGATATTTCATAATATTATAGATAAGTTAGAGGAACATAGATTAACTATATAAGCTAGACCAGTATTTATATTATGATGAAATACTGATCAAGATTAGAAGTGACATGAGAGCAATTGTTTAAGGCAATAATTTGATTGATTGATGATACAACAACTATCAAATGATAAAAGAAAAAAAAGCTAACAAATAATATTGGCATGAGATTCAAAGATTTTTTTGTTTATATTAATGTTTAGTAGAATTCAAAATATATTATAATCTCTTTTACACAAACACACACAAATTAAAAAAATATAAAATTATTGCGTCCAGGAGTATTCGCGGCGGTAGAGAAATATGAAATTTAGCGTCTTAGCATTGTACGAAAATCCGACATGCAATCAGATAAGAGAGAGGGTCTAGCATTTATAATTCATCGAGATTTTTACGTGGAAAACCTCTGAAATGGGGGAAAAACCATGGGGTCTAGCTCAGTTTGAATGAATCCACTAGTGTTGTAGTTGATTACAAATGAGGCCCTTCCTTGGGGGAAGGCCTTAACTTGATGTACATCTTATAGAGTACATTACATGATGAGAATACAAAGAGTCACTATTGACGTGTTTGTTTGGTCGGGAGGACCATAGTCTGGTGACGGAGGTCAAAAGAATCGTAGTCGGCGAGCGACGGAGGTCATAAAGACTGTTGTCTGGTGACGGAGGTCAGAAAGACTGTAGTCTGCGGGCGACGTAAGTCAGGAGGACCGTAGCCAACTGACGACGGAGGTTGGAAAGACTGTAGTCGGTGGGCGACATAAGTCAGAAGGATCGTAGTCAGCGGGCAACGGAGGTTGGAAAGACTGTAGTCGGTGGGCAACGCAAGTTAGGAGGACCGCGATCGGCTGGTGACGGAGGCCGGAAGGATTGTAGTCGATGGGCGACATAAGTCAGAAGAACTATTGTCTGACGACGAAGGTCAGAAAGACGACGTCAGATAGAATTCCAACAATGAAAAGAAACCGATCTTCGGATAGATGTCCAGCGAAAGTCTGATAACCGGTAGAAGTCTGGTGTCAGGTAGAAACTTGGCGATAAGTGAAGGTCTAGCGTCGGGTAGAAGTCCAACGTTTGTTGGTGGCTGAGGAGAACTCCGGCATCCCTTGGGGGGAGTTTCGGCGTCAGGGGGAACTCTGTCATTACTTGGACAGAATGTTAGCATCCTGTGGAAGTTAGACAGAATTCTGGCGTCCCGTGGAAGTCGGGCAGAATTCTGGCGTCATTTGGAGTTCGGGCGGAACTCCGGCGGTGGTTCTCTCTTCTCTTGCTTCGGTCCCCTCTCAAGAGAAATAAGGGGTCTATTTATAGATTTTCAAGAGTGACATGACCCGTAAATAGATGAGAGATCAGGGGTGAATATGGAGTGGTTCAGATAACTGTTGATATTGAATCCTTCGATCGTGGACCATTTATCAGGCATTTGAAGGTCTTAATGACTTTGGAATTCAACTATCTTGGTCTCGTTGGATTCGTCTCGTTGAGCCGTTCAATTTGATCATAAGTTCGTCAAGTTTGGAGACCGTTTGGTAACTCAATTTGTGGTTTGAACTTTCCAACGCGCTTCGGGTCCTTGATTTGGACTTATTTGGACTCGGATCGAGTTGAATTTGGTGTCGTTGGGTTCGTATTCTTTAGACGATCAATTCGACTATAAGTTTGCTAAAATCAAAGTTCTGGTGATCCCGATTTTAATTTTTGAAGTTCCCAATTTGATTTTTGTATTCGAGATTTGTGCCCGATCAAGATAATTTTCTGATAACATATCAAAAATAATAAAGCAACTTAGGGCATACTAATAAGATTTATGATTTGTTAGGGATGACTATAACACTTTATAAAGTTAATTGTAAAGTTATTACATATAAAATAACTTAATTATTATGGTTGTAGAAAAAAATTTCACAATAAAAAATAGTAGTTAAATGTAATTGTGGTTGCTATTTGAAATGTAAAATAGCAGGAAAGCTACCAAGGAGGTACTTAAGTTTTGTTTGGGATGACTTTTTTATTACTTCTTAAAATAATTTTTTAATTAAAAATATTAATTTTTGTAATAAAAAAATTACTTTAATCAGCAATAAAAAAAATTAAATCTCAAATCAAGCAATAGAGTTTCACTTATATTTTATTCTAAAAAAGGCTTGATTTGATGAATGTATATATATTAAAATTTTAAAATTATTTAGTGAAAAATAATAAATTTGATGATTGTTGAACAAATACAAAATATAATACGATTATTGATAGTAACTCAAAAGTTAATTTTTTTTTTTTGGGAAAAAAAAGTTAAAAATGTTATAGCTGTAAAATGTTATTAGAGGATGTCCTGCTACGGTGGCTCGCGCTTTCCTCGACCGCACGACGCATGAGGCCGTTACCGGTCGACGGAAGCGCCACCGCGCTACCGTGAGCCGCACCCCACCTCTGCTCTTCCAGAATCCAATGTCATGTCCGAGCGGAGCAAATCCCGCAAATCAAATTCCTCTTCCCTCTCACCGCTCAAATCCCAAACCCTAACCCTAAACCTAGCCTCTTCTCGCATGGCTCGCCGCCTCTTCCTCCGCCCTTCCATTGCCACCTTCGCCGCCGCAATCTCTCTCCTCACTATCTTCGTTTTCTGTCACTCTTTCCTTTCCCCTCTTCCTTCCTCCTCTCTCTCCCACTCCTCCTCAGTTCGCCGCCCCAAGGTCTACCTCTACGACCTTCCCCGCCTCTTCACTTACGGCGTCATCGAAAGCTACCTTCTCGCACGTGACCCCCTCCGCTCGCTGCCGATATCGGACTCTGACCTTCACTACCCCGGACATCAACACTCCGCTGAGTGGTGGCTCCTCACCGATCTCCTCCGCCCCGACCGCTCCGCATCGCCGGTTGAGCGGGTCAGCGATCCGGAGGAGGCTGATCTCTTCTACGTCCCTTTCTTCTCGTCCCTCAGTCTTATCGTTAATCCAGTTCGTCCTGGTTCTGATGGCGTTGGTGCAAGGGCGTTGTCATACAACGATGAAGATATGCAGGAGAAGCTGGTGAGTTGGGTGGAGGGGCAGGAGTTTTGGAAAAGGAACAATGGGAGGGACCATGTTTTCATCTGTCAGGATCCTAACGCACTGTATAAGGTGATCGATAGGATAAAGAATGGGGTGCTTTTGGTGTCGGATTTCGGGAGGTTGAGAGGGGATCAGGCCTCGCTGGTGAAGGATGTGATTTTGCCGTATTCTCATCGGATTAATCCGTTCAAAGGGGAAGTTGGGATAGATGGGAGGAACTCGTTGCTGTTTTTTATGGGCAATCGTTATCGCAAAGATGTAAGTTTTTTCTGTTGCATGTTGAGTTTCTTTGCGTTTGTTAATTGATATCTTGCTCAGCTGAGATTATTCGAGATGTGGAGACAGTGGAGAAACATCTCTCTCCAGCTGAGCTAATTGGAAGATTGAAATTTTTCTTTTCACAAAGCCTAGGTCTGGCCACTTAACTTATTTCTTTGTTGAACTGAACCAGTAAAAAGAGGAAAGTGGTTTTAGTTCAATCTCTCTTTGATACTGCTATATCTGTTGGTCAGATTATACACTCCTAAAGGAGAAATAGAAGGGTCTTAAAGATTGAATTTTGCATGCTATGTTGTATAAGTTTTTATTCATTATATGTACACAACAGACAAATTATTTAATATCATAACAGTATAAAAGGTCATCGTTGTGCAATACATCTGATATGTTTATTTTATGTTGAAACCAATTGCTCACCTTTATATATATATCCCATTTTGGATTGGTATTGATATAATTTAAGTTGTAGTTGTTCAAAAGATTTGCAAATAATGCACAATCTATGTGAAAGTGAAAAAAACTTTTTTGAACTTTATTGTGTAAAGAAACTTTTTTTTAAAAAACTTTATTACTTGAATTTTGATACAAAATGCAATAATACTTTTCCCACCTAAGAGAATGAAGATAGCAGTACACTAAAACAATCATTCTCTCTCCACCACACATGCCCCTATCCTTATGTGCATTAAGACCTTTGGATTGATTGCAGGGCGGGAAAATTCGGGATACACTTTTCCAAATACTCGAGAATGAGAAAGATGTCATAGTTAGGCATGGTGCACAATCAAGGGAGAGTAGGCGCATGGCAACGCAAGGCATGCATTCATCAAAGTTTTGCCTACATCCTGCTGGGGATACTCCTTCAGCTTGTAGGCTTTTTGATGCAATTGTTAGTTTGTGCATCCCAGTAATCGTGAGTGACTATATTGAGTTGCCCTTTGAAGATGTCATAGACTACAAGAATATTGCAATTTTTGTTGATACAGCTACAGCTGTACAACCAGGGCGTTTAACTTCCATGCTAAGAGAAGTAAGCACTGAGAAAATTTTGCACTTTCAGCGTGGGCTCAGAGAGGTAAGTTAATTTTTTCTAGTTTCCCGTTCATGCTCATGATTTGCAGTTTAAGTAATTCTATCTTGCTTCATGCAGCTTTGACATTTCAGACATGTCAACTCCATATGTGCTTGATTATATATTTATTTTATGATGCACCTATTCAGATGTATTTTTAGCTGATAGTATATTAGGTATTGCAAAAGATTATTGCACTTACCCAAACCTTTTGAGTTTTTATATTACTTGGCACATGGATGGAACAAGATGTCAAGTTCTTTAATGATGCAATTGATTTTTAAATCGGCTTAAAAACTGATCTCTCCTAAACCATCTTATTAGCTATTCTAGCATTTTAGAGTGTTATTGGGTTGTAATTATGCATTAAGGAAATAATAGAAAGTAAAAATGTTAGCTCTTAGAGTCCTTTTGGCTTGGAGGTGTCGGTACATGGCAGTTGGATTCCCTGTTACACCATAACAAAATCTGTTTGGTTTATTGAATGCTCGTTGTCAACTTTGTCATTTGATGGCATTTTGCTTATTCATCTAGTGTAGCAGCATGAATTTGTAAGGTACATAGTCAAATATACTCTTATAGTTTGTGATAATTGCATGAGTTTAAATTATACCTTAAATCCCAATCCAATGAAAATTTTTTTTGCTTGCTGGCTTGTTGACTTGCTTCTAGCGATTCAAGGATGAGAGAGAGAGCTTTTGCTATTGAGGAAAATTTTTTCGACAAGATCCATTTTTTTGTTTGTCAAATTGCTTGACATCTAGGGGTTTGTCATCAAAATATTCTTCACTCGAAGAGTTTACTTTTCAAATTAAATGATTTGTTGCTCATTTAACATTGTTACATAACAAGTTAAGGTATATGCACCCCTTTGCGATTCTGGTCACTAGATATATCACTATGTACATTTGATTCCAATCAATACCTACATGTAATTTTTAACAATATAGGTATATGCATGATAGATGATATATCAATCCTTAACACATAGAACTCGGAGGCAAATATGCTATTAAACATAAATATTAAATATATTTGGAAAGTTTATTAATCCAAAAATACCTCTTGAATAATTAATTCAAAAGATATTTCTTCAAGAAAGAGTTTTTATTAGAGGAGATTTAAATGGACATGTTGGTAGAGAGATAGATGATTTTAAAAGTATTCATGATGGTTATGGGTTTGGAGCAACTAATAAAGGTTGTAAGACTATATTAGATTTTGCTCTAGCTTATGATTTTGTAATTGATAATATCTTATTTAAGAAAAGTGATGTGTATCACATCACTTATAAGAATGGATATAGTAAAACTCAGATTGATTATTTTCTTTTTAGAAAAATAGATCATTTAAATTGCAAAGAATGTAAAGTTATTCCAAGTGAAAGTTTATGTACCCAACATCGCTTTTTAGTTTTGGACTTTAAGATGAATGGACAGAAGAATATGAAAAATATTGATGCAAATGAAAATTGCAAAAAATAAGTAAAAGGCTTCCTTTCTTAAAACATAGATAAACAAAGACACTACGATTGCAAATTAAAATAGACTCGACTTCCTTCAACTTAAATACTAAACAAGACAACAATATTATTAAAAACAAAGACTCACTACAATTTATAAAAGCTTGAGAAGAAGGAGATTAGAAGTCCGAGACGAAGTTTAAGAGAAGAAAGCGGAAAGAAGACTTAGCTCGCAAGCTAAAAAAACCCTAGGTTTTTTTACATTCCAAATATTTTCTTACACAAAACTATCTCTAACAGCAGAAATCAGCCCCCCTTAAATAGGGAAAAAGGAGCTCAAATGACACCCAAGCAGCTGTCCAAATCAGCCAACCAAAACAGAGGAAGAAAACCCAGGAAAAAAGGCACGACATGCTCAGGATCCAAGCAGTCAGGACACCAACAGCCAACCCTCAAGCAAATTTAATGGGAAGTCACTAAGAAAGAGGCACAGACATCCACAAACCAATGGCTGAGAACTCCCAAACACCAAGCATCCAAAGGCAAATGGGCCAAGCCAATAGGAGACAAAAAAGCTCACCAATAAATGCCCAAAAAATATTTTGCCTACATCAATTCTCCCTTGGTGGAGAAATCTTATCTTCTGCATCATGAGGACTGGGGACTTAATCCCTTTCAAGAAAGGAAACTTTAGAATTCTAATGAAGTTAACCTTTAATTGTTGAGATTATGTTTAGGCCATAATGAAAACCTTTTATATTAAATATCCTAAATGTAAATATTCTTGGATGTTTAGTTTTCTTAAAGAAACAACCAGCAAGAAAAATTCATCTTGGTTTCATTGAAGTTGGGAGAAGTTTGTTGTTGAATATGTTGTTCTTTCCATACGATCACACCGATAGAAGAAATATAATCAATGAGTTAAGTATTGTCTTAAAATAACTCTTATGAATGCTAGAATTCTTGTACTTGGTCATGCATTAGTGCTTTTACAATAGATAATCTAAATCGTCTGTCTAGAAAAAAATTCTTAAATGGTGGCCTCAGATAAAAATTATAGATAAATTACGTCATATTCGATAAGTAATTAAAGCCAACTAAGACTTAACTAGTGCAAGTAAATCTTCTTCATTAGAATATTCTATCAAACTCTTGAGAAAATATCCTTATAACTTATAAGTCGTCCAAATAAATCTAATAAAGGATGATATAAGACTAGGGAATTCTTTGAGTTATTCTCTACTCCTTAATTAGGCGATTTCATGAGTGAGGATCTAGAGGAGGATACATCATCTATGAAAAATGAAACTATGATAGAAATTTTGGGCTGCAATTCAAGTAATGCATAGCTTAAAAGATCCATGACTACAAATACAAATACAAATACTAATTAAAAAAAAAGGAAAAAATTATCTTTAACTTTCTCTAGTGCAATCATTAACAGGGATATACCTTGTTGCCATTGACAATCATCAATAGGGAGATTCCTTGGAGCCATGATAATTATCAATTGGGAGATTCCTTATAATCTTCATTATCAACAGATAACTAAATATGCTTCAGCAAATGTTGCTAATATTTGCAACAAATAATTACACGTGATAATAGACACCAAAATTGAGATTCTTATTCTTTTAATTTGTTTGAATTCCTGTTTAAAATACATTTGCTTTTCATTCCCCATAAATTAATATAAAACAGTAGAACAACAACCATTGCATGCAAGTGAGTGTTCTAGGTGTGCATTTCCTTTGAATCTTAGTATTCTCCTCTTCATTCACTTTGTAAATTTTAAGCTTTCCAAATTTGAATTATATTTTTGCATAATGATATATATGCTTTTTACATTTAGTATTTGAATTTTATGGAGCTAAATTATCTTCTTGAACTCTACAAATGATGAGAATTTGATCTTTATAGGTAATTTTAGTCCCATGATATGCCTTTGATAGTTTTATTAGTTTTTTGAGAGGATCTTGTAAATCAATGAGTGTTTTGTTCTTTTTTTTAAAAGATTAATTTTTAAAGTTAAGCTGTTATTATCCTAAACATATTTGATCACTTTGTCGCATAATGTGATAAGTCCAAAGGAATAGGTGATTAATCTTAGATTATGATGACTCGTGATAAGTTAATTTTAAAGGATATGATAATGTAACTTTGATTTTATATTAGTTGTATAAATCAAGATTCATCATACCAAGAGATCTTACTTAATGGCTTCATTCTTATCCATCAAAATACTTTTAATGAGGAGCAATAATATTAAAAACCTTGAAATCATCGAATATGTGATGCAAGAAGACCTTAATAAATAGTTAATTCCACAAGCAGAAAGATTGTGATTTATAAGGTAGGCTCCTTCGATTTTATAGGGACTCATTGATCAAAACAATTGAAAAACCAATCAAGATTGATGTTACTGAAAATAATCCCTCTTCTCATTGAAAATGTTATTATTCATATGTGCAAAAATATAAATATATCCATATTGGTTTATAGTTTATACAAATATCCTTGAAACCTCTTATTTTAAGAGGACTAAAAACTTTTATTTTAGCCTGCCTTAGAGATAATCCATATTGGGCTTTATCGCTAAGCGGAGTTATGAAAATCAATCTGTGTTATGGACAGGTATATTGTAATACCTTCCCTTATTTAAATATATCCCTAACGGATTTTAGCCTATTTAAAGTTGCAAATTGCAACTCTAATTAGATGGCTATGCTTTTCTTCATGGAATGAAAATCATGGTTATTGTAGTTTCTATACACTTTAAGATCATGAATATTTTATTCCCAATATTAAAAGATTATCCATTCTAATAGATATGATCAGCTTAATTGAAACAATCTTTTGGATTCGCAATTTGAACTTGGACCATATCTAAAGCTACTATTCATCGAACAATAGTTAATCAGGAAATAGATCCAATAATAAAAATATTTGACGGAGATATTAAAATAAAATTTAATCCTGGAAGGCCAATTAACATGGATAAGATTACCTTATTTTAGAAGACACTTTAAGTAATAGCATTTAAAAAAAAAAAAAGTAGTAGCATTTTATTTCCCAATGTTAGAAGGTTATCCAGTTCAATAGATATGATCAGCTTAATTGAAACAAATGTTTTGGATTCATATATCACCAATAGGGTGATCAAATGTAATAAGATCACCTTTCCTTTAACTTGGATTTCTTCTAAAGCTACTATTTCTTGAGCAATAGTTAATCAGGAAATAGATCGGACAATTCAAGCATTTGATAGAGATTTTAAATTAAAATTTAATCCTGCAAGGTCGATTGCAACTGCATTGAGTGTCAATGTATAATCAAAATTCTTCAAGTGAAGAAAATCCTATTGAAATCTAAAATCAAACATCGAGAATATAAATGTCTCATACATTCAGATTCCACAGCCATTATATCAGGCGAATATTTCCCTCTGTTCATCTGAAATGGATTTTAGTTTTAATTGATTTTGGTCAGGGTGGTAGAAGCAGAACTTTTTTTAATCGATAGTTCAAAAAATTTGAATATTCCAAATTTTAGGAATGTATGCCAATGCTTTTATTCACACTCGTTTTTTTTTTTGAGCAAATGCTATCTAGAAATGAGCGCTAATGAGTCGTTCCATTTGTCTCTTGTTTCACCACTACTTATGGTTATCATAATGAGAATCATCTAAATATGTTGACTAACCAGTGGAAAATTGTCACTGGTGAAGTTATTACTGCTACATGCCATCCTGCTGATCTTCTCTTACTGGAAATTTGTGGTAGCTTTTATCAAAATTGCTAACGAAAACTCTACTATAAAATATATTTTTCCATTATAAAGTAATTAAATTTTATCAATTGTACTTCCTGAATCGTGTTGAATCATATACTCAAACTTGATAATAAGATTGACCAGATTTTTACACATATAAATTTCAAGAATAAGTATGCAATTGGAGAGCGGCAAGAAAATATTAAATTACATCCTGCTGTTCAACTACCTTTTTTTAATTATCCTTTAATCTTGGATCTTCGAGAGATATTGTTGAGTTCAAGCAGCTACGCGGAACAACTACTAACTTGATCAATAGGGTCCATCAGAAAGTCAATCTGATCATGATCAAAATTCTAACAAGTCAGACATCCTACGATTACAACAATTTATTAAGGTTGATTTATCGGTTTTCAGTAATGTGGATGCTAAAGAAAGCTGCTATTATCTCAGAGCTGGTCTGATTTTATGATTATTGAGTGAATGTTCAGGAAAGAAATTCTAAGACATGACACCGTGGACAAAATCTGCCTACACACAGTTGTTGCTTTCGGGGTTCCCAAGTAGAATTTAGTTGCTTTTAGGTTTGCTCTTAGCTTCATTATTTTTCCTATAAGAAACTGTGGCTTCAGAGAATTTCAACTGACAAGTTTTTCTCTGGAATGTGCTCTTTGTAGTTCTTCAAATGTGTGATCAACGTCCTTCAAAGTTTTTTCACGATCCTAGGTTAATCCTATTCTTCTGATTATTTCATCTTGAAATTTTCTCGAGATACCTATTTGCTTGAACTTTTTAACATTTTTCTAATCACTCATAAGATTTCCATGAAGTTACCTTCTGAGCTTAGGCCTTCTCAAACCGAACTCTAAACACATGAATGGCGACGCTCGCGAGCTCCACCCAAACGGCAATACTTCCAGTATTTGGTTGGGGGAGAGCTGTGCGACGCCAATATTGGCGTTGCACTGTTCACATGCATTATTTTTCTGTCTTTGCCGGATTTGCCGAAGAAACGTGCGAAAAAGAGAAAGACGGTTACCTTATGCAAAGGGCGCAAAATGGAGCCGATCGGGGATGAATCACGTTATTTTTTTGTTTCACTGTATTTTGAAGTGAAAAATGAGATTTTCCGTTTGGGATGCCCTTACTTCTCTGATGCTCCTTTTTTATGGTTATCATTTTTAGCTAGTAATCTGAAAAGTACAGTGATTAGATGTGTAATTTATAGAAAACAACATCATGATATTTTTTAATTAACTAGATGCACTTTTCATGAGGTTAACTTAATATCTTTCTTCTCATTTAGGTAAAGCATTTTTTTGAGTATGATGATCCAAATGGAACAGTGAAGGAGATATGGCGACAAGTTTCTTCTAAGCTTCCCCTGATAAAATTGATGATTAACAGAGACAAGCGCCTTGTCAAGAGGGATCTGGAAGGCCCTGATCGCTCTTGTATCTGTTCAGGCCAAAATGCAACCATTGCTGTCCATTAAATGGAGTATAGTTACAGTGCTTGGGCTCTGTTCACCCTTCATTGATGCTGGAGCAACTTCTGCTTCCAGGTCTAGAAGATGTTGATAGAAGAAAACTTTTTTTAATTCAAATCAGTGTATGAAATATGAACAGATACTTTTTTTTTTTGTTGTTTTGGAAAATTTTTAGTCTCCGCTTCCCATACTTTACTGGAGCTCAGGCATGCCAGTTGGAATTTTGTTAAGGATTTAGAGAGAAGGTTATTTGTGCAGGTAGGGTCTTTATTATTATTATTATTATTATTATTTTTGTGGGGAAAGATTGATTGTTTTAGCATTTCAAGTTATAATAAATTGTATTTTGTCAATTTAATTTGCAAATAGCATTTGGGCATTGGTTTTTATGTTAATTTGCTTGAAAATCAATACCTTTCAAGTTGAAAAAATAAAATAAAAAATAAAAAAATAATATTGTATTACTTTATAAATATAGTTTTATAATGTAAAATTTATATATAATTTATAGATGTAAAATTATACCAAAATATATAATATAAATTAGTAATTATTTATATTAAATATATATATTAATGCTTTCTAAAATAATTTTTTTTTTACTAAAAAATTATTTAAAAAAACAGTAAAAAAATTATCTCAAACAAAAACCTAATATATTTGACTCTTCCGAAAAACAGTTCTACTGTAGGACCCTAAACCCTAAACTAGATAAAGACTTGTTGCTGTAACTTCAAAATTCCGACTTTTTCCATGGCAGTCTTCTACTGTACTAAAGCATTTCTGAAGTAGAATAACCAGGAACTCACATTAAGCCAGTCATTTACTTAAAAAAAAAATACACTAATTAATATGACGAACAAAAGTACAAAACCAATTCTAAAACGAAGAAGATAAAGCAGCCTCTCCATCTAATATTGAAAAATTGGTTGACCACAGATTCCTCTAGCTACTGAACATTCCGTTATTGGATTCAGGTAAAAAATTTACGTGGAAGGATTTGTTTTACATCAGCATGAAAAGCTTTTGAACTGTAAAAGTAGTTCTCTCAGAAATTTAGGATGAAACCAACGAAACCTCCATTGTTGACCACAAAGTATATTCTTCATGATCAATCTGTAACTTCTGCTCTTCAGCTTTTGACATTTCTCTTTTTGATTTCCTAATTGAGAATCTAAAATCTGCAACTCTAAAGACACCCTGCTTCAACATAATAGGAGCGTCCAAGCTCCAGTGTCATCACATTAGAAGCAGAACTCCTGGAATCCTCAGAAGCTGTCTAGAAATTACTTGGAATTAGAAGGATTCCTTTGATTAGCTCCAGGAGTGAAAACTGGAAATCGATCAACAGTCCCCCTATCTCCTCGAATGTCACGATAAACATTAGAATCTCTCCTAAAACCGCCCTCATTTCTTTGTCCTTCCCTAGCTGTGTTAGTAAGAAGTGGACCGCCAAAAAATATTGACTGTCCTGTATATGTTAGCCTCTCCTGTTGCTGTGAGGGACCAACCGATGATGAAGAAGAGTTTGACTGATTGGTCCTTCTTCCATAACCTCCAACTTCAGCTGAAGGATTTGTTGTAGGAACTCTACTTCTATATGGAACTTCATTGCTTTCAGGCCTAGTTGATGGTAGAACGGAAACATACCTGCCAGCTTCTTGATCCCACACAACTGAACTCCTCCTGCTTTCCCTGACAATTGAAGTGGCAGATTGAAACAATGGATTGCTAGGTTGTATAGTTGGGATATTGGATGGTTGGGTAATTTGGAGAGACCCTCTTGGCATGTTTGGCCTCGCAGGATTTGGCGGTTGCATCGGTAGCGGGCTCAAAGCATAAGGTTCATGGATGTGTAGAGGACTGCTAAGGCTACTAGCTGTTTGGGTGCCACTCTCATAGTCATCCTTGCTTGCAATGCTTTGTGGGTAAGAGTTTCTTAGAGGTGAGTGTCTAGGATCAGTTTTTGGTTCTTTGTTGGGGCCATAATCGATACTCATACTGCTTCTCACACTAGCATTACTACTGGACTCGGTTTCTGGGATTTGGCGACCTTCTATTGGTCTTAGAACTGATGAAGAAGCCCTGGCTTTTGCAGCTGCTTTCATGGCTTCATTTGAATCCAACTTTGCAAGTTTCCAGGCACTAAGTTTGACTGGCTTCTTGGACCTGATTGCTTTGTCGATGTAACCAGCTGAATCAGGGTCAACTGTGGAAGGTACCATTCCAGGTTCGAGATGTGGAATTACCTCATCCTGTTGAGGTAAATACAAGAAGTAAATAATAGTACTTCTCATACATTTATTGAGGTAGAAATAGCAGTTAGTTCCAAAGCCTTTTGGAATGAATATATGCAGAAGCTTATCAAAGTGGCAGGAAAAATGGACGCAAGACTTAAAACTGAAAGTAAATTTCATAAAACAACTATACTAACGAAGTAAAACATGCACTAATATCTTGGCCAAGGCCCTCAACATGATGAATGGAAATTGGCCGCTACAAGACTCGTTAGATAGAATGAAGCAAGCTGACATGCTAGGAAAGAAACTCAAGTTCTCAAGTGCTCATAGACCCACATAAATAGCGGACAATGATGCATGCATGACAGCAGAGCTCAGAGAAATAGTATTAGGAATATAGATTAAATACAACTGTTTGAAATCACTTTGGAGGGCAAAAATTTGAAAATAGCAAATTTTAAGAATAAAAAAAAAAATAATAGCCTGATGACATCAAAATAAACAATTAGGGAAGATGCTATTCACTCTCACGGTTCACGGTTACTGATCTGTTCACTCATAAGGTACTTTATTATAAAAAATATTAGAAAAGAAAAAAAAAAAACTTCCAAAATTAATGCAAAAGATGATAAATTTTCTAAAATTTGGAACAACTTGGGATCAGTAGTTCTTCAAACAAAGATGATGTTAGCTTCTTAGGTGATGGTATTCTACCACGTTTTGGTTTGATCCATGCATAATAACTCTAAAAAAAAAATAAAAAAAACTCTACTTTGCAGAGACTTTCCTAATCTCTTTCAAATTTTTCGAAGAAATTAATTGTTGTTTGGAAGCTATCAAAAAAGGTTTAATTCATCTGCTTTCTGTTAAAGAATTTTCAGATGATGAAGACATGTCCTTTAGTTCTGTATGTCTTCTTTATCATCTATTGCTTGCTTATGTTCATAACGAAAAACTCATAGATTTAATGAAAATAACACATTTACTCTAAGGGGCCCTTGTGGTTGGCGTTTAAGTCAAGCTTAATTCCGTAAGCACTAATAAAAACGCATTTTGACATCCCTTTAAGCCTGGCTTGTCTCCAATAATCAGCTTAAGCCAACCAAAAGATAAGTTGGATTGATAGCAAGCTTAAGCTCATCTCTTGTGATATTTCAGCGAATTTAAATTAAATCAAATTTAAAATTCACTAAAAAATTCATCATCATTAAATATATAATCGTAATAAATCTTATTTTCTCATAAGCTTATCTTTACAAAAGAATTAAACTTATCATTTCATAATTAAACAAATTTAAAAGCAAATCTAGCATTCATTAAAATAAAGGACAAATTATGTACAAACCACCCAAATCCTAGTTAATCATATATTTCCCTAAGTTTAACCGTTCAAAATAATTAGCTTATAATCTCATAATTAGAAAATTTTAAATTAAAATAAATTTAACGTCCATCAAATCAAAGAAAATATACATGTGCTACCCAAAAATTTCATATTTAGATATGGAAACCCAAATAAAAAAAAGTGACAAGCAAATCAAGTATTTGTATGCTTCACAATCAAATTATTATGAATTTAACGAAAGAAAAATATGGGCTGTAGTTTTGTTGCGCTCATTGAGAATAGTACTTGGGTGTTAGCATTATAAATAGGAAACACAAAAAATTACCCAAAAATAATTTTAATAATCACTATGTTTTATCATAATTAAATTCTCCTAATAAGTAAATCAACTCATACTAATGCAACAATTATAGAAATATGATGAGTTAAGAAAATGAGTTTATGCCAAAATACACCTAAATAATTCTATCAAATTATCTCAGCTTACAATAACTAATCTTCTTCAACAACCAAATGACTTTTTACCCTGCTTAAGGCCAAGTTTAGCATCACTTGACTTGGCTTATCTTAGCCTAGCTTAAGCGCTAACCAAGCATCCCCTAAGACCCTTTAAAAGAAAAACTTTTGGTGTTGCTAGTTATATAGAATAAATTACAAAGCAAAAGATATCTAATAACAAAGTTGGGCTTGTGATATTAAATGTTGCCTTAACATGACAGATGAATTTGTTAGACATGTTTTTCTCATTCTCTAGTGCAAATAATGTTGTGGTTTTGCTAAAATCATTAAAAAAAAAAACTAAAGCCCAAAATAATCCCTCGACTATTAGTCAATGCCCAATTTCATCATAGGCTTTCATAATACTCTAATTTAGTCCCCCGACTATTAAAAAAATCTCAATTTGGTCAAATGACCAAAAGTAACCATTAAAGTTAACCCTAACAGTTAAATGTGTTGGTATTTTGGGTATTAGAGTGTATGTGAGATTATATTATTATTTTTATATATTTTATTATTTATTGTATTAAAATAAATATAAAAATTATAATGAAAGTTAACTACATTTATTAATTATTCACTATTGTTATTTAATTGATTAACTTCTATTATAATTTTTATATTTATTTTAATATGATAAATAACAAATAATATATTTTTAATATGATAAATTACAAATAATATAAAAAAATAATATAATCTCACATACACCATAATCCCAAAATGTCCTAAATTTTAACTGTTGGAATTAATTTTAACTGTTAGTTTAGGCATGGGGACCAAATTGTGACATTTTCTAATAGTCGAAGGATTAAATTGGGTCATATATGAAAGACTTGATGAAATTGGACATTTACTAATAGTTAGGGGACTATTTTGAGCTTTTACTCTTAAAAAAAATTCTAATTTAATTGATGATATCTAATACAAATTGAAGAACAAAATGAAATGCTCCATTAGAAAACATTTTTGGTGCCCCATTATTTATTTTCATTTATACAAAGTCAATAGCGTAATAGTCCAAGACCCATAACATAGTGCTCATCCTGTGTTATTTGCATGGAAAAAATGTAAAAAGAGAAATAATGTGTTTAATGCACTGTGTGCGCTATAGCGCATAGTGCAGATGGTTGATTTATTTATTTAAATTACTTATATAAAAAAGACTTTTGGAATTAAATATAATATAATGAGAGTATTTTTGTTGCTAAGTCTAGCTCTCAAGCAAATGTATTTATTATTTATCTAACAGAAGAAAAATGGTAGTTTTTTTGGAAACTGAAATCTTTACCATCTTTACAAGTAGGTTTTAGCCTATAATGTTCAAATACTGTGTATGATAATCTATCAAGTAGAGCTTACAAAATGTTGGAGTAGCTCCAGAGGCAAATAAGATTGGAGAGAAAGCATCGGCTTAGATGATTTGGTCACATAAAGCATCGAACTACTATTCGCTCAGGAAAAGACGACGCTACGGCACGAGCCTCACTTTCGCAAGCTTTAGATGTACCTTTTTTCTCCGAGGTAGATTAGAATTTAAATTAACCAGATTGCCCCCGATGCTTGGCATCAAGGCTTACTTAGTTATGAGGTTCCACTTCCTATGAGCTCAAGCCCTCATAGTTAATTACTCTTCCTAACGCATAGAAGAGAACTCTCGATTAAAGATGAATCCATATTTGAACATGCAACATTTTTAATTTTGGTTGTGGGGGGATGGAGGTAAACTCGATCAAGATCCTAACATTTAATTTAGTTTGAAATTTATAACTTCATTTAGAAGTTACCAAGTTGTTTGATTAGATTTGGGGTCAGGGCTTACAACTTTTCTTAAAAGTAGCCCGTGTAGCGGGTCTTCGAAGTAGCCTGTATGTTCGGGTCTTACGACCTCTATTAGAGGTGGCTCGTGAGTTTAAAAGGTTGAGTCTCACTGCTTTCATTGAAAGTAGCTCGTAGGGTTTAAAAGGTTAGGTCTTACTACTTTCATTGAAAGTAGCCCGTATAACGGGTTTTATGGCTTTGTTTAGAAGTAGTCCGTTGATGGGTCTTACGACCTAGCCCTTTAAGCTAAATAACCCGTTTGCGGGGTTTAGGGTTCGGTTACTTTTACCTAGATATTTTTCCTGAAGTCAGACTTACGACCTCTATTAAAAGTTGCCAAATGAACTTTAGGTGTTTACTACTTCACTTAGTAGATTTTACTTGGTGAAATAGTTATAAAAATATAATTCACTACTTCTATTAGAAGTGACATATAGGGCTTAGATTAGTGAGAAAATAGTTTTACACACTTCAATGCCTCAACACCAGCGTTAGCGTCTTTTTTTACCTACAGTAGTAGATTTACTTATTTGTTTCGTATCTATTTGTTTTAGTACGTGCTTGTTTTAGTACCAGTTATGTTCTTTCCAATACTAGTTTTGATTTATCAGTACTAGTTTATTTTACGAGTACCAATTTTGTTTTATCAGTACCAGGCTGACTTTTGTCTACTTGTTTGCACGTTTTCGTAGCTAGCAATTGCAGGAGCTAGAGCTTGCAGTTGCTGAGTTTATCAGGAGTTGGAGCTTGCCAGGAGATGGAGGGGATTAATTTTAGGATTTTTGGAGCTTTCTTTTTGTTTAATGTTTTCTTTAGTTTTAAGAGTTTAGTTAGTTTGTGTGAATTGTTTTAGGTTTATTAGTGTGAACATTGTTCTTGATGTTTAACTTAAAAAGGGATGTCAAGTTCTTGTGGCAAATTTCTTAGCTTTTCGTGGCAATTTTGACAGCCTCCCAGCATCCCCTCCCCGCGAAAGGGGTTGGGAGGGCACTTGCCCACGAAATAGGTATTCTGAGCACATGCTTGTAATTCAGTGTCTTCCCAACATTTCAGCATCCTTTTACTGCCCCCTTTCCCTTGAGAGGTTGGGGAGAACATTTTCCCTTTAGGTTCACTCGACCGAATCTGATCGACGGTCAAGGGCTTTGGGGGACATATCAACCTCAGAATCGTCTTCGAGTCTTCAACTGATGATTGTGACACCTTTTTCCTTTATTATTATTATTATTATTATTATTATACATTTCATATATATGCAAATTTTCCCTTCTCACACTCACTCGCAAATTCAAAACACAGAGGATCGAGCGTGAGTTCCAACACAAGAGGCAGATGCGCAAGATTTTGGGAG